AACTACTTGGCTACGAATGTAAGAAAGACTACATCTCACGGTGCATGATTCTACAACTTGACTCACTCTGGACAAGACGACTAATTATAAACCTAGTATTCTTCTACAAGGTCCTACACAAAATATCATTCTCAGACAGTAAGGACATACAATTCGCAAAAGAAGGCTCTTATGACCTGCGTAACCAAACTTGCACAGTGACAATAAAGGCCTTTAAGTGAACACCCCGCGAAAACTTCTTCACAGTCATGTATTCTAAATATGGAACAACCTGCCCCTAGAAGTCAGGAACTGCAATACGGTTATAAGTTTCAAACGCTCTCTGTACAGACTGCTTCACTCTACTGATTATATAAATAAACTATTTATTCCTAGAACGAATCAACTATTAGTCTACTACAGTGCCTAAACGCGCTTAAATACCTTTACTTCTCTAAAGACTATAAATAAACTAGTAGCATAAATGCATAAAAAGACTTAGTAGAAATAAATATTTGTTCATCAAATTACAATGTACAACGAATATAAACATATATGTCCCACTCCACATACTTTTTCTCTGCCCTCTGGTACATTTCTGTTGTATTTGCCTTGTAGTACAAGTTGCATTGATCTACATTCCGACTGAAGCTGAGAAACAATTGAAGTCACTTACTCAAGATCAAATGGCCGGAAAGGATCAGCAACAAAGATCTCTGGGAGCGAACCAACCAGGAACCGATTGTGAAACAAATAGGCAGGAAGAAATGGAGATGGATTGGCCACACTCTGAGGAAACCAGCAGGTGACATCACTAGACAAGCCCTCGAGTGGAACCCGAAAGGGAAGTGACGAGTTGGTCGTCCAAGGGTGACCTGGAGGAGATCATGCGAAGAAGAGATGAAAGCATGTGGGCAGACCTGGAGCCAGGTGAAAACTCTAGCAGAGAACCGAACGCAATGGAGACGCATGGCTGAAGCCCAATGTTCCTCTAGGAATTAAAGGAAATAATAATAATATACTCACATATCACCCCCTAAGGTTTGGCTAGTAATGGCTCAGCATCCTTGATGAAACCCACTGTCACCATAACAAGACGCTGTACAGCATCTTATACAAGCACTGTCAACGATCTAAAATGGCTTACATATAGCTTTCTACGAGTTAATCAACTTACTCGTACGGAACAACCATACAGTGACAAATGGCAGGCTCTGGCTGACTTGGGTGCAGTATAACAAATCTGCTTGACAATGACCAATATTATTCTGCATTCAGTTGAATTCACATCTGGTATTACTTGCAATAAAAATGATGTCAAAATCATACAAATAAATCACTCATTTTAAACTAATACCCAATTTAAACATAAAACAAGAACAAAATACGATGCCGCACACAACAAAGTTATATGGAGGAATTGACTTCAAGCTTCTTTATTTCCCCAAATATTTGTAATTTATCCGACACATACTTGGGTTTTTTGTTAATGAGAAGACAATATTCCTATATTTCTTTATGTGGTCGATTGAACGACTAACTATCAGAATGTACTCACTAACTGATGTCAGAGAGGACAGCAACCATGTAATTTCACTATAAATCATATTCAAGTAATTTAAATAATACTTATCCATGCATGTACAACTGGTGTGTCCTACATAGATAGGAAATATAGATATTATTGTATCATTATTTAAAGGGTATTTTTGGTACATTCTCGATAAGTTTCTCAGAATTTTCACTTTCTTTTTCAGGTGCGATGGGCGCTGCACGAGAAGCAAATGAAGCACGTGAAACAACTGACGGGCATCAACGAAGCGATTTATACGCAGCCAGTTAGCACAGGTGGCCGACCAATAGGCAGTCCATCAAGCTGGTCGGAAGCGTTTTACTGATGTCAACATCACTAGATTTTTACTTCTGGCTGGTTTCATGTTAGGGTCCTCACAAATTCAGTAGGGGGTAGGGGTAGTAAGCTGAATCAGTAGGTAATTCTACAGAATTAATGGCCTGTAAAAGTGGCACGCATTTCATGTAAACTTACCCATTTATAAGAAATATAAATTATTGGGTCATAAGAAAAAGGCACAAACAGCCAAGAAAATTTTCTTTTCGACAATGCATTTCCATGAGCTGTACAATCGTAATTATATTAAACAAAGAAATCTTTAGACCAATCATGGGGTCTCCTCTCGATCCACTCATAGCCGACTGCTTCATGGAGAGTCTCGAAAACAACATCCTCGATCCCTTGATAAGTCAACTGCACTTATACAGGAGATACATAGATGATAAGTTCATAATCTGTGATGAAAAATCTAATTTAGATTCTCTTCTCAAAACCTTAAACGTAGCGCACCCATCAATGAGATTCACCTAAGAACACGAATCGAGCAACGCATTTCCATTCCCCGATGTACTACTCACCAGAAGACACGAATGTACGATCCAAAGATGGACATATCGCAAGCCAACATGGACTGGACAGCTTACCAACTTCCAGAGCTTTGTCCCACTTACCCGAAAGCTAGACATGATACGTACATTATATTCCAGGATTAAAAAAAATCTGCTCAGAAGACATGGTATTTATTGCGTGAAACCTTACTAGAGAACGGGTACTCACCAAGATTTATCGACAAGAACATGATGGAGAAGACTCCGGTGTCAAACATCGTAATGGTTCCTAAGAAGACTCTCTTCATGAACCTAGAATTCAAAGGTGACATCGCAGCGGAAATTCTCAGAAACTGCCTTTCTAAATGTCTGAAGAAGACATTTCCAACAGCAACCCTACGTATCACATTTTCCTGCAGACAGTTAATCCAGTCTAACGGTAAGGGCATGATACCGCTTTTGGCCACTTCAATGTGTATTTATCAATTTACTTGCTCGTGTAGAGCAAAGTATATCGGCTGTGCGCAACGTCAACTCCACAAACGTATTCTGGAAAACCGTCCAGCTTGGTTTGCCAGCCAGAGGAGAAAAGAAGAATAGCAGGAGCTCTATCCTCGAACACCTTGTCATCTCTGGACATCAAGCACCCCCACATGAATGCTTCACAGTGTTACACAGGGTCCCTCAATATCGTACATAGGGACTTCGCATTCGCCATCTCTACATAGCTGAATCACTGGGTATTCGGGATCTGAAACCTGACCTCTGCATTCAAAAGTGATACATACATTCTCTCGCCCTACCATGGCCAGAGTAAAGTCCTTACTACAATTTTGCTTCCTTCGTTTATTATGTAAGTTCACTATTGTTATTGTTAGTACTTTTATTACCATCATTATTCCTATCATCCACATTTTATTACCACTCTATTACTGTTTATCAATAACATCGCTTCTTCATACAGACTTCATATGAAAACACTATCGCATAGACAGAAGACCGGAGCAGTAAGATTACAAGCATTTATACGTATTATACTGACGCTTCTAAAAGTTTATTGACTGTAACCAATTTCTTCTTCACACGGTGTCCTTCATGTCATCCATGGACGAAAGCCAAACTCCCCATCTCCCACCCAAGTTCCACTGGATTGTTTGGCTGGTGCGTGGTGACATTTAATGGTCCCCCCAGGGTATGTTCAGTTCATCACCACTTACTTCCGCGTATTTATCGAAGGGTTTAGCTATATCGTTAGTATGTGCGAAAAAACAACCCGATACTTGTTTAGTCTGAATTTCCGTCAACTTACCTCGGCCAATTTTCTGACGGTGGTTAAGTCATTAGGTAATCTTTATCGCTTCTCACAGCCTTCAATAACTGTAAATCATCCACATACCTAAGTAGAGGACTATTTCCATGGTGAACACACAAGATTTTCCTGCCCCCGATGTAGACTATCACTGCGTTATTGATCCCCATTTAGAAGCTTTCCAAGTGGCAATTTGGCGTGTAAAAATATCTGACTCAGAATAGATCCAAAAATAAAGCACAGAGTAGGGCTTTCTGCCCCTGGTGTGCTGTCGAGATGTCTGTTGCTGCTGGTTTGTTTTAAATATCCCTTTGAAATCCTTTGAGGAATATTATCTTCCTCAAATGATCCGTGATGAGGCTGCATATCTGACCTTCCATCCCTTTTGAGATCACCAGTAGTAGCTCTAATGGTGTTAAATTCTTCTTGAAAAGACAGGAAGGAATACTCTGCTTATGTCTCTTCAGTGTTAACTGTCTTTCTAAAAGTCCTGAAATGAATTCCTCAGTGCGGTGCATAGAATATCAGCATCATATCATCTTACTAAGGGGAAACTGTCTGAATGAGGCTTCAATATATTCTCTGAAAGCATAGTAGGATTGACTAGGGGTGGAACAAATCCACGATGTCGGCCTAAATAGTGGGTTTTAGACATGGCTGCATTTCGTTTACTTCTTTACCGTCCAGCTGTTTGTTGAAGGGTTTATTGAAAGCTGCAGATATCTATGTAGATTCCTAATGACAAGAGCTCCTTGACTGGTGACTTTTCTGCCGGTCTTGAGTTGGTAAAGGTTCACAAGTATAACTTTAGTTGAGTAATGAGGCTTCCTGAAAATCATTTATCTCAGACATTTATACTTCACCTATTCTTTACACCCATTGTTGTAACAAATTCTTACTGCTCCTAAGAAATTCTTTGATTGTACCAGTGTCTTTTGGTCTTAAGGAGAGGCTGTGTACATTGGGTCAGCTACTAGGTCTTCGTTTTGTGGTTTAGGTTTGTCGCACAGTAAGAATAGTTAGTTGCCTTTTCCTGGCACTTGCCACGAACTAACAGTATCTTTTCGCAGCTAAGGCCAAGATACTGGTCAAAAAGTTTATAGCGTGATTTTCATCATTTATAACTGCTTAGGTAATCCACATTAATATCACAATTGTAGCTTTTAAAAAGTACTTATATGAAATTTTTCGGGCTCAAACATAATGGCTCATATATCAGATATTGTAATTTATCTCACATCAAAAGAAATTTAGAAAGGTTTTAATCGGTTATTTATATGGGGCTAGAACTTGAAATTTATTTTTGTTGGCTATTCGCGTGAATACAAATTGAAAGGTCGCGAGGGATTTCAAAATATGACCAGTGAAGGGATTCCCGTTTCATTAGGAAAGGTTACTCCGCCCTCTGTCGATGATTTCATTTTGTTAAAACCCATTAGTAAAGGAGCATTTGGGTAGTTCAACAGTTTTTTCCTTATGTTTTTGAAGTAAAGTGTTTCTGGGTGCAAAGGCCAACAATTTAGACCTCGTTTATGCTATTAAAATAATGTCCAAAGAAGAAATGAAAAAGAAAAACCTTGCAGAAAAAGGTAAGCTGACGGTTTCGAAACATTCTTCTGTAGTTACATGCGAGCGAAATGCCCTTGCAATCAGCAAATGTCCTTATATTGTCCACTTGTACTATTGTTTACAGACTGTCAGCTATGTTTACCTGGTAATAATCAAATTACCTTTATTGCACAATTTAGGTCATGGAGTATCTCATTGGTGGGGACTTAAAGTCGCTGTTATTAGTTATGGGTTGTTTGCAGGAGCATCACGCTGCTATCTACACTGTTGAAATTGCGATAGCCTTGGAGTATCTCCATAAGCATGGGATTATTCACCGTGACCTAAAGCCAGATAACATACTAATTGATTCCAAAGGGCATTTGAAGCTAACAGACTTTGGTTTGTCTACACTTTTGTGGAAACATCGTAAGTTCTATACATTATCTTATTGTTTTAACCTTGAAGGATAAATTTTTTGTTATTTGTAATTAACAGATATTCAGACTTCCGGCTACTTAATTTCATCTTCAAGTGTAATGCATTCCAAGTTACATCTAAAGGATGAATTAAGTGTCTTAGAGAAGTAAGAACTCTCGTTTAGATTAGAATGAAATACTAGAATGCATCATGCCAACGACATAATTAGGATAGCTAAGGGTCTACACTAAATTTCGTAAGGTAGCATCGTGATGGCAAAGGAAAATGCGTTAAGGATGTAATGAAAGATGACGTACAGGAGATAAAATTAGTGATAAATCTGAGAATCTGCCTCCATAAACGACGTAGTATGACCGAAGGTGGGTAGACTTCCTTCTTGACATATATCCTCATATGGCCACGCGTTCATAGCCTCTAACAGATAAGTCGTATTCACTGCCTTCACGCGAAGGGGGTGTTACTTAAAAAAATGAAAGTAGAAATGCTAACGTCTGTATTTTGCAACTGAACTGGCAAACATGCAGGTCTTCCTAGGGGATCTGGAAAACCTATGGTGTATATGGGCTGCACAATTTTTTGAACGGATCGGTCGCCGAAAATTATGGGAACATAGCTCCTAATGCCGCTCCACTGCCTTATGGGTTAGACTTCAAGTCAAAGGCTTGAGGAAGGTTGGTCCTATTAAGACTACCTCTTTCTTCCTGAGCGATATTCCAGACCTAGCACAAATGGTGAGATTTTGTTTGTCTTTTAATAGCATAATAATTTCGAGACTCTGGGTGATAATAAGTGGACACGTTCGCTCCACTGTATACAGTTTTGTGGCGTTTTGCCTACAGTCTCCACCCGTTAGTCCTCAGCAGCTTAAAGACCTCAGTCAGACAGTCTATACCCCCATGTGTTGGTTAGAGCAATGGCTAACGATTTCATGGATTGATTCCGTGCTTCCGTTTTACCATCTATAGCACTTCCAAACTAACTCTTTCAGCTAACATAATCGCAGACAGCTGTAGTAAGAAACTATTCATCTTTTCTTGTTTTTAATCCATGTGCCACAGCCGTGAAGTAGGATGAAGCGAACTAATGCACATAACACATTTCGTTTACTAGATAGCTGGATATCACCTTCGCTAAAGGCGATGCAAGTTGGTGAATGCCAGCTGTCCAGAGATTTTGTCATTAACCAATCCAAAGGACTGATGCGACCGTCAATATAGATGAGTTGATCAACACTTACGATTTCTCTTAAAATCTCTAAGTAAAAATCTTGCAGCGTCATCATATCTTATGTGTCTGTGGTGATATGCGTTCCAACATAGCTTTCGATTGGAAATGTGTAGAAAAGTCTGCATGTTATCACCAATTTCATCAAAAACAACCATATTATTTGGACACTCCAGATCACCGAGACTACATTACTGATAACACACATTTCTGAAACATCGGTTTCGCCCGAAGTTGAATCAATTGATACATGTATATTGGTGACTTTGGGAACTTATTAGAAAGTCATAATCTTACATGACCTGAAGAGACTAACTGTCTTTTACCACTGGTGTTCGTATTCTATCTTCGTGTTAAGTGGTATAATATGGTGAGTGATATTGGGGAAAGGAGTGCAAGTCAATCAATGAGGTTGTGAAGCTGCATCGATCGAAATGCTAAATTATCACCTTTCTCGTCGAGCAGTGTTAGCTGATATAGGATTATTTTGAAGAAGAGCTGGGAATCATCAAATCATAACTGCATCAGTGTATGAATTCTTTGACTGTTGGTTTTTAGCCATGTATGAAGGTGTAGACTGCTTAGCTAGGTCCTCGAGATGCTAAGGACCAATGACTGAGGACTTAGTGATACGGCTCAAAATTGTTTCCAATGGCGCTGATTCATTCAATCTTTGTAATCTCCCAGATCCATAAGATGCTCATGATTCTCCGTATATTTCTTTCTTCTGTTCATGTCTGCCCATTATACTTTGAAAATTTCTCTCTAGCTTTGTATGGCATATGGAGTGTGGTGCCTTAAACTGCTGCACTTTTCTGCAAAGTGCTACTTCGTAACTTAGTCCGAAGATTTTAACGAGAAGAGAGGGATTTACCCATTTCTAGTCACTATGGATATTGTTAGGAAGCATTCTCTAAAAGTAATTGTTATCATGGTGTCTTTTCTAAACTATTTCTATTGAATGTTTGATTTATGGAAAACACATTCGGTTTTCGTAATTAGATCATTTTTATTTAACTGATTTCTTCTTCTGATATTTTGGAAGTCTTCATGCCTACTTAATTCTTTTGTAGCCTTACAGCCTAGTGATGTTTTGAATACGCCTTCTGTGGTCCCATTACCTGATCACTACTATCGAACACCTGGTCAACTTATTTCTCTAACTACTGAACTGGCTTTTGTAAGTATTTTGAAAGAAACGTTATATTTCATTTTTTTATGTCGATTTGTGGCAACAAAAGTCTAAATGTCTTTTGTAATATTTAGATTATGGCTTTTCTTAGGATTTGGATTAATTTCAGTGTAAATTTCGTTGCGAATCAATATCAGTTAGAGATCATTAAAAATCAGAGAGAATGCAACAGCTGTTTTTTATACTTTGGGACTCGTCAGTGGTGCACGTCGGCAACCTATCTCATCAAGGACCTTCAGGTTATGAAAGCAAGCTCGTTAACTATTCAGCCACTTGGATTGGGTTTCGATAATCTATGCCTTCTAACTTTGTCATTACTTGATATAGGACAAAAAATGTAGTTAGTTTTATAGTCTAGTGTCTGTCGCTTTTACTCAACATCTTTTCTGTTTTCACAAAGTAAGTTTTGTCTGCCTCACCATGGCTAATTATGTGCAGTATTATTATTATTCCCTTGGATTCCGAATGGGAAATGGGGGGTCAGCAGTGCATCTCCATTTTCTCATTTCTTCTTTAGTTGGCCCCACGGTTGCTGCTAAACTTTCATCTTCTCCTCACACGATCTCCTCCATGTCTCATTCAGATGTCCAACTCGTCGTTTTCCAATCGAAGGGCATCATGGCGTATGATTTCAATCAGTAGTCTCTTTAGCGTGTACCTGATATTTGCTGGGCAATAGGTTTTTCATTGGTTTGTTCCCAGAGTTTCCTGTCTCTAATAGTTTCTGGCCAGCCACCTGATCTTCATTATGGAACCAGGGAATGCAGCTGTTGATAAAAGTCTATAGCCTGATAGAAATGCTTTTCCATTATGGGTAAATTTTATTTTGATAGAGTCTCACAGTGTTATACAGTAATATTTACTGATGACGTTTCGAGCACAATTTTTTTGCTCATAATCATATCAAGTTAATCACACGACTTCCTAAATTCATTTATATAGTTCCATTGTTTTTCACTTGATTTTCACTTGATTTGATTGGTAGTATTATTTTCCATATTTCAGGTATGAGTGATGATTCATTCCTATTGCATGTGTTGGGTGTAGATTCGATGAACAAAGATTCAGTAATCAACCTCTCTCTCCACCTACCTAGATTACTTTTTAGAATTTTAACCCTCTCCCACCCTATTGTGTGGTTGTGTGTTAATGCATGCATTGCAATTGCCGCGCTTTTTTCTAAATTACTTATCTTCTCTGGGTCAACCATTCTTACCTTAGCTAAATTCTTATGTTCTGACAATCTGACTACCCCTGACCTACTAGTTTGACCTATGTAGTTGACCTCACAGTCATTGCAGGGTATTTTGTAAATTATATTACTTTGTCTAATTGGGTCCACTGGGTCCTTTAACCTACAGAGCTTGTCCCTGAGTGAGTTTGTAGATTTAAATGCCACCCTAATTCCTGCTTTATTTAGAATCCTACGTAGGGTCTCAGATGTCCCCTCTTTATATGGTATAACTGTAGATGACTTATATTCTCTCTTATTTATGTTATTATTACCAGTTTCACAATTCTTTTTATTTTTCCTTTGGCGTTTTTCAATCTTCCTAATGAATTTCAGAGGATAGTTATTTAGAACCAACGCCTCTTCTATCTGTTTTATTTCGTCATTTAGGTCTTTTTTTGTGCTACTTTGTTCCAGGTTATCCCATAAGACCAATAGTAGATTTTAGAAATACCCCTACATATGAATTATCAAAACATTTAGCTCTAATATTATGCCCCATTAGAAATCGTTCAAATTCTAGACTAACTAATTCATATGAAATGAAAAATAAACTAAATGACATACAACTAGATAATGATGAAACAATGGTTAGTTTTGATATAACCAGTCTTTATACTAATATACCAGTCAATATGGCCTTAGTAGCAGTTAAAAAAGAACTAACTGCGGATACTGAACTCAATCATAGGACAAAGCTGTCCATTGAAGAAATTATTTTAGGGATTCAGCTATGCCTCACATCTACTATATTTAAATTCCAAGGCAAAACATATAGACAAACTGAAGGTGTAGCAATGGGATCACCAATATCCCCTATCGTAGCAGATATATTTATGGATAGCTGGGAAAATATGGCACTTAATACGTTTAATCCTACTCCAAAAATATGGTGGAGATATGTGGATGACACTTTCACAGTGTTAAAAACAGAACATATCTCTAGCTTCTTGACACACATAAACTCACTAGTGGAGGGAATAAAATTCACATTTGAAACCGAAAATGAGCAAGGAGAATTAGCTATATTAGATTGTAAAATAAAACGAATAGAAGAAGGCAAACTACACACTAGTGTTTATAGAAAACCAACGCATTCTAATAGATATTTAGACTTTAATTCATCTCATCCTTTAACTGTTAAGGCAGGCTTAGTTAAGTGTTTAACAAACCGAGCAATGGCACTAAGTATCACAAAAAAAGACCTAAATGACGAAATAAAACAGATAGAAGAGGCGTTGGTTCTAAATAACTATCCTCTGAAATTCATTAGGAAGATTGAAAAACGCCAAAAGAAAAATAAAAAGAATTGTGAAACTGGTAATAATAACATAAATAAGAGAGAATATAAGTCATCTACAGTTATACCATATAAAGAGGGGACATCTGAGACCCTACGTAGGATTCTAAATAAAGCAGGAATTAGGGTGGCATTTAAATCTACAAACTCACTCAGGGACAAGCTCTGTAGGTTAAAGGACCCAGTGGACCCAATTAGACAAAATAATATAATTTACAAAATACCCTGCAATGACTGTGAGGTCAACTACATAGGTCAAACTAGTAGGTCAGGGGTAGTCAGATTGTCAGAACATAAGAATTTAGCTAAGGTAAGAATGGTTGACCCAGAGAAGATAAGTAATTTAGAAAAAAGCTCGGCAATTGCAATGCATGCATTAACACACAACCACACAATAGGGTGGGAGAGGGTTAAAATTCTAAAAAGTAATCTAGGTAGGTGGAGAGAGAGGTTGATTACTGAATCTTTGTTCATCGAATCTACACCCAACACATGCAATAGGAATGAATCATCACTCATACCTGAAATATGGAAAATAATACTACCAATCAAATCAAGTGAAAATCAAGTGAAAAACAATGGAACTATATAAATGAATTTAGGAAGTCGTGTGATTAACTTGATATGATTATGAGCAAAAAAATTGTGCTCGAAACGTCATCAGTAAATATTACTGTATAACACTGTGAGACTCTATCAAAATAAAATTTACCCATAATGGAATTACACTCTACCACAGTGCCCAAGTTTTATTCTTATATCAAGAAATGCTTTTCGTGACGCGCGCGCCAAATTGCTGACACTTAAGGAAGAACCGACTTATCATAGTTGTTGGAAGTTTGATTTTTATTCTTTATTCTGAGTGCGGAAAATTTTATAACTGATTTCAGAGTGATGAAGTTCTACCTTGCCTTTCCCATTCTAGTTTCGTCAACCTCATCGATGCCGACTGTAAGTGAAACGACGCTGCCTATACAAGTGAAGGTAGTAACGTCTTCCAAATTACTTCCTTTGAAGGTGATTGGGACTTGTTGTTGTTTAGTTATTTTCATCACCACCATCTTCCTTATGTTTCTCTCGACTTTGTGCGATATTAGACACAAGTTGTTCGCGAAATCCAGATCTTCTAGAGTCTTCCTATGGCTCCAACTCATTCTTGTCTCCTCGCTTTCCACAGTTTGCCGCATAGTCCAGTCCACCACAATTAGGAATATCATCCGTGGTGATAATAGGCGGCCAGCTTTGTCTGACTCCTGTATTCACTTCGAACGCCTCACTGAGTTTTCCGTTGTGGATCACCTGACACGTGGCAATGTCATATAACCAGCTGTTGAATGAGGCTTATAAAGACTAAGGCGCTGAACGCCATAGTGTTGAAGTAGTTTCCGAATTACATCTTGGTTAACACTGTCGAAAGCCTTCTCGAAGTCGATGAAGTTGAGGTAGAGGCTTGACTACCATTCTATACTTTTTTTCTGTGATGATGTGTAGAGTTGCAATTTGATCAGCACATGGTTTGCCTTTACTGAATCCAGTTTGTTTCGGTGGGGCGGAGTTCTGCATCCAGTGCATCTTTTATTCTCTCCAGGATGACGCGACTTAGTATTGTACTTGGCGTGGACAAGAGCATTATTCCACACCAGTTGTTGCAGAGGCCTGAGTCGCCCTTCTTTGGTAGCTTAAAAAGGTAGCCAGCATTTCTTCCAATCGGTAGATACCTTTCCCTCCTTCGAAACCTTTTGCATTAGTGACAGCATAACTGCCGCAGTCTCTTCGTCTGTTCTCAGTGCTTCGTGGGGGGGATTCCGTCTGACTGGCCTTCAGTGATTTGATTACATTCAGGATTTCTGCTTTCGTTGGAGGATCGGTGACCACTGATAGGCAGTTCTGTGCGTGCTGTTGGTGATATTTCTGGGCGAGTTGCAGGTAATGGTTGATTCAAGAGTTCTTTGAAGTGATCAGCCCAATGTTTTCTTTGAAGTTTCATCCTTCAGTTTCCTCGCATTAGATAATGTTTTGAGCCCATATCTGCTCCACTCTCATAAGATTGTGATGAAGTCTCTCTCTGCTTTTTAGTGTGTTCGTCAGGTGAAATCCATGTTGCTTTGTGTATATCGTTGTGCTTGTACACGCTACTTCCAATCACCAAAGCATTGAAAGCGCAGAAGTCTGCGAACAGTTCTCCGCTCCCATTCATTTCCGTACGAGCCTCTCAACCCATGAAGAATTCTCTACCTGTATTCTCTCATCCCAGTTTAGCATTCATGTCACTCATTAATATTTTAATATCGCTATTTGGGACGCTTTCTATTACTATATGCAGTTGTCTATAGAAATATTGCTTCTCCCTTTGTTCTGCGTTGTTTGTAGGCGCGTGACGTTGGATAATTGTAACTTTCCTTCCTTTTGATTTGAATCTTGGCGTCATTATTCTAGAGGTGATTAGTTCCCATTGCATAAGAGCTTTGGCTGCTGTTGGTGACATCATGATAACCACTTCATCATTGTGCCTGTGGTTGTCGTCTGAGTGACCTGAGTAGATGATTCACTCTGCAGTTAGCAATTTGGATAGTTCACATTCATTCCCCTTGGTTTCAAAGATTCTTAGCACACTAGTGCCATATCTTCTTACCTCTTTGGCAACCTGGGCAGTTTTCCCAGTCTTGTACACTGTACCGATATTCGATGTCCCAATGTTTACTTTTGCTTTTATCAAAAGGAGACGCATCGGCTGATTGGCTTCCCTGGGGGTTTCACCAGCCCGCGTCATTTTGCCCCTCTGGTTCCAGCGAAGAAAAAGTTTATTTCTGATATTTTTGTTGTGCTTTGGAGTTTCTGTAGCCATTGTATTGATTATCCGGGGTGGGATCGCTAGCCCCACGCCCAACCTCCTTTCGGCGGCTTAGGACCGCCTAGAAAACTAACGAACTATTAAGCTAGGCTTGGTTTATGCGCTGTAAAGCATACGAATATTCACGTGCTGTACGTGCATGCTACAGGTAATATTACGTAGACGGTAGTACACGTGAACTCTTGAAGTATCAGCAATTTACAGATGACAAGCAAACTACCGGTCAGGAAAAGTACCTTTTAAGCACTATTAGCTGTTGTGTGTATGAACACTGATTAGTCTGGGGACTTTTTTCGCCACTCAACAGGTGGACAAGTCAATAAACATCCTACGTACTTTACATAGCGCATACAATAATTTACAGAAGGTTTTGTAAAACTGTATGTCTTAATTTTATAGGAGAAACTTAGGCAAAACTATCCTTCATAAGTTATTTTTCCTAAAAGATAAGGGAGGGGCTAACAGTTCTTTTCTGTTGAGACTTCTGGTGTTTCCTGTTGTTGACTTACTCCGCTGCCCCACATAAGCTGCTCGTACGTGTGTATACCTTGATATTATCTGTATTGAATTTTAATGTTCCTCCATCCGTATAGAATTCTAAAACACATTTTTTTTAAATTATCAGCTGAATGTGCTTGTCTGGTTACATGCTTTGATTTTTCTACTAAAATTCAAAATGAGGAAACTTATGACTTAAACACTTCATCGTTATCAACCAATTGCTTAAAACCGCTAAATTTTGTTACTGAAGCTGTAGATACTTGGTTCTAATCTTTTGGATAACCAGCAATATTCAAGATGCAAGTACATCTGACTACTGGATCCTAAATAAAACAAAACTAGTGTATATTCAGCTGTTGTTACCCAATATACAAATCACTTCTGTTCAGATTATGTAGGTAAACTTTGTGAGTGGTACGTTTATTAGACTACGCAAGTAGCCTAATACAAGGAAAGAAATTAGACTCCTGTATATATAAGATTTCCAACAGGCTTCAGACTTCATCAAGAGCTGCCTTCTCTGGCTCCATACTGAAGATCAAATGGCCGACCAGAAAGAATTAGTAACAAGAAACTGTGGGAACAAACCAGCCAAGAGCCAATCGCTCAATAAATATGTAAGAGAAAATGGAGATGGATCGGTCATACATTGAGGAAACCGTCTAATGACCTAGGGCGCAATGCAGGCCATCGCTCGAGTGGAATACAAATGGGAAGCAACGATGATTGGGTCATCAATGTAAGGGTGACATGGGAGAGATCGTATGAGAAAGAGATGACAGAGCTTGGGCAATCATGGACCCAGCTGAAGAGGATGACAGAAAATAGAAGTGGAGAAGTATTGTTGAAGCCCTATGTTCCACTTGGAACCCAAGGGAATAATACTATATAAATACTTATGTTTATGTAGTAAACTGCAGTCTGTTTTAAGACGCTATGTTGTACATTGTTTTTCAACCCTCTGATTGTGTAAGACTTCTTAATTTTTCAAATATAGTTATTACTCATGCACTTTGATTTATCTTGTTACTAACTGACAACAACCTTTGCTGACTCATGTGTTCTTTATTACTTATCTATACTGATGAAGTTTTTTAGCACAGTTGATTACTCATCATCATACCATGACAATCATCTAATTTACAGATTTTGTTTTGTATAGTCCCATTATTTCTTATTCTTTAACTTTATTAGTAATTAATATTTTCTATATCTCAAGCACACAGGTGTTGCGTCACTTATTTTATGTGTGTGTGTATGTGGCGTCGATTCGATGAACAAAAAGATTTAGTGACCACATGTCTCCCTCTCTCTCTCTCTCCAGTGAACGGTATTGTCTCGTAGAAATGTGTTGTCGAGACGTCATCGATCAATAAATAGTACCGTACCACTGTATGTTATGTCAAAGAAAATTATGAAAACGAAACACGTAGTTCAGCCGGAAAGAATGTCTTTTCGGAAGCGAATTCATTCACTTAGCTGTACAATCGCAATTACACATACCTATTTATGTATGTGTTTGTGTGTGTGTACACGTTAGGTTTGTCCGATAAGAATAAAAATAAGTTAAGGTTATTGTTGTCAAGACATTTCAAAAATGTGATGAGTAATCAAATTGTGATAAGGTGGGGTGGGGTGAGGTTGAAGATCAGTAAATGGGTAGTGGTGATGTATTGTCAAAAAAACATAGTTATTAATGTTAATCAACACATAAAAGAAGTTGAATAAGCTTAATACAGTTACGTAATAAGATGAATAGCCTAACGAGTGAGTTGTGATTAGGCTGTACATAAAAACAAAGGAAAATATGGAATTATTTAAGAGTTCTGAAAATTACAAATGTCATAAGAAAAATACGTGAACAGTGAGAAAAATTTATCTTTTCGACGATTTATTTTCATAAGCTGTACAATCGTAGTTATATTTAACAAAAAAATCATAAGACCAATTAGATACTGGTAAAATTCGTCCTGGACAAACGTATTACGTACTGTGAGGTGTAACCTAGACGGGGTGACTATGTGGAAGTTAGAAAAGAGGCAGAAGTTGGCATGACCTAATAAGTGTGAGATAATGACTAATCAATATGATTGTGTAGAGTTGACAAGAACTAGTGGAAAGACGACTAAGTGTTTTTATATAAAATCTGTATGAAAACGCAATGTTGTTAATAAACAGTAATAGAGTGATAATTAAATATGGATGATGAGAATAATAATGATAATAAAATAATCAATAATAATAGTAAAATTACTTAATAAAGATAAGCAAAATTATAGTAAGAACGTTACCCTGGCCACGGTAGATCGAGGGAATGTATGTGATACTTTTGAACGCAGAGGTCAGGTTACAGATCCCGAATACCCAATGATTCAGCTATGTAGAGATGGCGTATTCGAAGTCCCTTTTTACGATATTGAGGGACTCTGTGTAGCATTGTGAGGCACTCATGCAGATGGGGGTGCTCGATGTCCAGAGATGACAAGGTGTTCGAGGATGGAGCTGCTACTATTCTTCTTTTCTCCTCTGGCTGGCTAACCAAGCTGGACAGTGTTCCAGAATACGTTTGTGGACTTGACGTTGCTTACGGCTGATATACTTTGCTCCACATGAGCAAGTAAACTGATAAATACACAGTGAGGTGGCCACAAGCGGTATCTTTTCTTGGAGTTAGAAAAAATGAAACGCATAAACATTAAGTCAGTAGAAGTCAACACGGTCGCTACCATGATAGTAGAAGTGGTTGGATGATTTTCTTTTGTATAAATAACTCTGACTTTCCCAACTGAATATCTAAGGCTATAGCAATACAAAGGAGACGAAAGCGTATTACCTTTGGTAGGTTGTTCTTCACTTTGTAGATCACTTTGAGGGAGGCATTTGTTTAGATGTAATGACAAGTGTTGGCGAGGTGCTTTTGATTATCGCACTCCTTATACAGCCACTATTACCTTTTTAGCCATGCGGGATAGTGTTATTGAACACTTTTAAACAGGATACGCGTGGAATGATCAATGTACCTGGTTCCAAAGCAAGAGGTGAACTGATATATGCACATAGAAGTGGCCAGATGCGATGTATTGTCCTTAAGGCTTCTGCAGATCGATGGACGACTGGGGAACACTACTCTTAGCGTTGCTGCAAAAAATTTTTTTCTAACTCTTTATAACATTTGTAATTTTTATAAGTCGTACATAGTTCCATATTTTCCTTTGTTTCGATGTGCAGTCTAATCACAACTCACTCATTAAACTATTCACGTTATTACGTAACTGCATTACACTTATTCAACTTCTTTTATATGTTGATTGACATTAATAACCGTGTTTTTTTGACAATACATCACCACTACCCACTTACCGATCTTCAACCTCACCCCACCCCACCTTATCACAATTTGATTACTCATCACATTTTTGGAATGTCTTGACAACAATAACCCTAACATGTTTTTATTCTTATCGGACAAACCTTACGTGTACACACACACATACATAAATAAGTATGTATAATTGGGATTGTACAGCTAAGTGAATGAATTCGCCGCCGAAAAGAGACTCTTTTCAGCTGAACTACGTGTTTTGTTTTTCACTAATGTCTGGATGGGGATTATTTATGAAATAAAGTTATCCTATCATGGATTTATATGTCTTTATTTCCATTTTGCTAGTAACTCTGTTTTTTTGTTGTTATTTTTTAGACTAGTACACCTAGCATGAATAAAACGCAAGAGTTTCAAGAAAGATATCCATCAACCATACAATATGACAAAACGGAACCTTGTTTTTCTACATCGAATTGTTTGCCTGGCAGAAAGGTAATAGCCTATATCGTCTTTGTCATATATATATATATATACTGCAATTCTTCTGTGTTCCAGCTTGACCTTTGAAGTTGCAGTAGCAATGGTATTATTTTTTCTTACGGGTTGAAGTTGCTAGCCTTATGCTGCACCTTCCGCCTCTAACGGGTTCACTACTGGCTGAATGAGATATACACGAGTACCTCTTTTCGGTGAATTCATTTTCATAGCTGTACAGTTGCAAATATATATGGTTGTTTTGTATGTGTGTGTACATTAAATTTGTCAAACGAAAATACAATTAGTAAGTTCAGATGAATTGGATGTTGATATAAGAGGGTAGTAACAAAAGTGATGAGTTTTCACAAACGATTGTTAACGAAGAGTTACGCAATAACGTGAATAGTTTGATGAAAGAGTTGTGCTCAGGGTGTACATGGAAACAAAATAACATACAGAATTACGCAAGAGTTTTAAGTAGTTAGAAAACAAGCATACAAACAAAAGTTAAGTCAAATCAACAGAGTTGTTGCCATGAGAGTAGAAGTGGTTGAATAAGTTTCTTTTGCATGCATAGTTCTAGTTCTTCCAATTGAATGGCTAGGGCTTCTGCAATGCGAAGAAGACGGAAACGTATTGTCTTTGGGAGGTTGTTCTTCACTTTGTAGATTACTTTGAAGGAGACGTTTGTTGAGATGGAATGACCAGTGTTGACGAGATGTTCGATTATTGTGTGGTGAGAGCTGTCTACTAGCCAAATTGGTAGACAGTAATTTACGTCAATGTTTACGTTCTCAAGATTTGTCGTGAGAAAATGTGAACAAAGATTAATTCAAAACCGACCACAGCAGACTTTGCGTAGGCGGATGCAGTTAACATATAGAGGATTTGACATTCAAGAAACAGTCACAAATAGATGAAAGATTAACTTTACGTGAGAAACAACCAATCGGAAGACTGTATTTGTTTGTTTAAATATCCATAGTAATGTACATGAAAATATATAAATATGCGTTGATTTCCTTAATAAATGATCTGTTGCCTGACTCTTGCCTTCTATCGTTACAATTGCACTTCTTATATGGCCACTACTTTCGTTCTGCAGCCACTCGGGATAGTGTTGTTTGACCCGTTTTTAAAGTATGCGCGTTGAACGTTGTTACTACCCTCTTATATCAACATCCGATTCATCTGAACTTACTAATTGTATTTTCGTTTGAAAAATTTAATGTACACACATACAAACACAACTATATATATTTGCTATTGTACAGCTATGAAAATGAATCCACCGAAAAGAGACTTCTCTGAACTACTGGTCTTCTTTTTATTAATGTTGGAATGGGAATTTTTCATGAATTTAGGAGTGCATCGGCTGGGGATTGAGCTCTGTACCACGTGGGGTGCATGGCAAGTATTCTACCAGTGATATGCTTCATAAATACATTTTGTAATTATGTCGTCTTTTTGCTTGCTGTATAATTGCTAAACTTGTGTCTACTTACATTTTCATCTTTGTCCGAATGGATAGTGGTTAATTTATAAGTGCTAGTGATTTTTATTCGTTACAATTTACGTTCCACTCTGTAGAAATTTACCATTTAAATGTATGAAATAAAAGCTAATTTGTATGAGATGGTTAGGACATGTGTTACGTATGACTAGCCATCGCCTTCCTCGACCGACGGGCAATGGTAGCTGACATAGGATCAGGTTGGAAAAGAGCTAGTGGTAGTCAAACCAAAACATAGCTTCATCAGTCAATGAAATTCACAGTAGTTAGTTTAAGCCAACCACGTAGGAAGATGCAGACTTCTTGGCTGGTTGGGTTCCTCGGGACTGTAAAGACCAATGAGGACTGGAGACAATTGGTGATATGGCTCAAAATCGTTCACAATGCCTGGCGCAGATACATCCACTCCTTGTGACTTATAATATCTCATAAAACTATATTGCTCTTCGATATTACTATTCTTTTTGCCTCACACTTCTGTTTGTTATCTGTCTTGTGAACCTCCGTTTACTGTCTTCTCTTGCTATGTGTGCTATATGGAGGGAGTTTGGCAACTCGAACTGCTGCATATCTGTGCAACATTCTGCGTTGAAAGCAGTTAGTCAGTCAGTTTTGAGGATTTTATGTAGTTCTCTTACTAAAATTTCAAAATACCTCTGATTTATCAACATGATCCTGTTGTTTTTTTCTAACCGTTTAGTACTCATCTCCGAATATCAACCGATCAAGTTTACTTCATAAATCTCCTTCAGAACTTTCTTTGAAGTCAATTACTGTTTCAGCTAAGAAAACAACAAATGCATCAAATCAACAACATCTGGGTACTTTACGAAGATGTAAAAGTTCCAGTGTCCTAGAATGCAGTGGTAACAGTTATAGCGAATCTTACAAACCTTCGGATCATCGACGTTTAATTCATTGGTCGCCAATTACAGGGTCACCAGTTATTGAAAGCACTTGTCGAAGTTTGGATGCATCAGAAAGTCATTTAGATGAGTTGCGGGTAAGATTTCCTAGCATAATTTTTTTTTGTTTATTCTCTAGATTATAAAGTTAAAGATTGCGTTTTTACGAGATGAGTTTTATTTCCATTTCACATGTAAATTGAACAACAAAGATTTGATGTTAGATTTTAAACTGTAATAAATTGAATATGTTGTCTAGGCGGACAATGAAGTGTTCGTAGTTAAACCATCCAACTGAGAAAGTACTGCTTCACTAAGGAAAAAAATACAACTGGGCAATTCCTTATTCTTTATTACTGATTTGTGTCAATTGGTTTACTTTCAAATCACATTTGCCTTATGTACAGTCGTACTGGTCAAGTTATTCTCTAATGCACTTAACATTTCATTGAAATTTCACTCAGTTCAATAGAAATTTTTGAGTAGGTTATGACATCGAGCGGACAACTCTCAGGCTTCAATAGTTTGGTACTTATACATACCAAACGAAACTCCATCCTCCCTCAACATTCGCGGCCCCTCACATCATAGAAGAAATGACCCCGACCATACTACAACGGGTTCTCATTGAAAATGGCTATCTTAAGGACTTCATCACAAAATCCATCAACCCTACACCATGAAAATTATACACACACACTTTCGATCCTCAAAATACTTTGCTCTTTCAATCTGAAATTCTATGGAGACTCATCACCAGAAACATTCAGAAACTATATGTCCACTTAACTGAAGGAAATTGTCTTTTCAGCTGAATGTCGAGCTACTTTCCCTACGAAACCAATGATTTGATTGAACGTGAAGGATAAGCTGCCAAGTGCTCGCCTTCTCAATGTGTATCTATCGATCCACCGGCTCCTGTGGAGCTAAATATGTCGGCTGTAATCAGTGTTTGTTATCCAAAAGTGTCATTAAACCTTAATCTTCATGGTTTTACAAAGAAGCAAAAAAGTAGCCTGTGGATAGCTCGATTTTGGATACTGGGTGAACTTGCAAACTACCGATTTGCCCAATCTGAACTAGGTAGAGCGAAACTCGAACCCTTGACCCATCAACGAAAATCCGAGTGTTTAAACCAATAGCCATATTTCCACACGCGAATAATTTTATATCGTATTGTTCTGTTTGTAATTGCTGTATTTCTCGTATCCATTGTTATTGAAATCTAGACTAGTGTAAGTTCTTCTGAAAGGCTTATATCACTACATACTGTTATACCGAACTATACAATATGTGTAGTAGTATCTGCCTTAGTGGCATCCAAGATTTCCTTAAACATCTATTCATCAGTTACTAGCATTTTTCAAGTATTCATGAATTACCATGGTGTCTACCGTAGGTTGGTTATTTAATGAATAACTTTATTTTTAGATCTTTGGTTTTGAATAGTATAGCGACAGTTTTTTTTACACATAGTGCGTCTTAAAAATGCATTTACAGTATCCACTGTTTTCCAACCTTTAAGATTGATTCAAATAGACACACAAAGATTGTTAGTTAGTTTATTAACTGACTGACATCACATTATTGATACAAGTATAAAACTTGGGCACTGTGGCGGTAGAGCATAACTCCATTATGGATGAGATTTTATTTTGATAAATCACACAGTGTTGGTCTACAGTAATATTCACTGATGAACCCGTTTCGAGCATAAACTATTGCTCACAATCATATCAAGCTACTCGCACAACTTTTTCCTTCATTTATATACATGTGTGGAATTGACCAGATATTTGAATAAAGTCAATATGAGATAATGTACATCCAGAAATAATAATATGAGTGTTATTGATCAATTACGGTTAGATGGGAAATAAGACGAGTGTTTTTTAGTCATAATTAGCAACTTGTTAGAATGTTGTGATGTGCTTGAATTGAAACAGAATTTGGAGATTATTTATAATCCTCTTCTTATTTGACTGGCGGTAATAATATCTTCCATAGATATCTCGGGTATTTGCATTGAGTCACTTCTGCTGCATGTGTTGTGTGTAGACTCAATGAACCAGGCAGGATTCAGTAATAAATCTCTCTCTCCACCCACATAGATTACTTTTCAGGATTTAAACCCTCTCCCACCCTATTGTGTGGTTGTGTGTTAATGCGTGATGTGCAATCGCCGAACTTTTTTTCTAAATTACTTATCTTTTTGGGGTCAACCATTCTTCCCTTAGCTAAATTCTTATATTCTGACAATCTGACTACCGCCGACCTACTAGTCTGACCTATGCAGTTGACCTCACAGTCATTGCAGGATATTTTGTAAATTATATTATTTTGTTTAATTGGATCCACCGGGTCCTCTGACCTACAGAGCTTATTCCTGAGTGAGTTTGTAGGTTTGAATGCCACCCTATTCAGAATCCTACGTAGGGTTTCAGATGTCCCCTCTTTATGTGGTATGCTTATGAGCAATAATTTGTGCTCGAAACGTCATCAGTTAATATTACTGTACAACACTGTGATTTCTTTTCAACGACTTCATTTTCAAGCTGTACAGTCGTATTTATATTACAGAAAAAGGTTATTAAGTGGCACTAAATAATTGCTCAGTCAATATACATATATAAGTGATAAGAATAACGATAATTAAAATGTTATAAGGGGTAGAGTTGAAGTGGATAATTTATAAAATTATTAAAGATTGTTTTATAAGTGAATTGACATCAAAAATATTTTTTTTGAAATGTCAAACGTCTAGAAATTTTAAAAATTAGGAGTACGATTACGATAAGAATAAAGATGTGAAGTGAAGTGGAAAGAATTCATGTGGTAAAATAAAATAAACTGAAAACTAGAAAGAACATTACTATGACCAAGGTAAAGAAAGGGGTTTGACAAAACGCTTTTGAACACATAATTTAGGTTTCTGTTGATGTATAGCTAAAGTTTCGGCTATGCATAAGTGAAGAAAACGTTAACTTTTGGAGCGATTCGATTTGCCACGTAGATAACCTTGAAGGGTGAATCACGTGAGGCTGAATGACCAGACTCTAACAGGTGATCACAAATAGACGACTTCGCAATTCTACGTTCGCCTTTCATTAATCAAACCGGATAGTGTTCAGCTACACGTTTCCGGAGACTACGCTTACAACGTCCAATATTATCAGCTCCACAGGAGCAGGTGAAAGAGTAAATGCACATAGATGTGGATATCAATTCACTTATAAAACAATCTTTAATAATTTTGTAATTCATCCACTTCAACTCTACCCCTTATAACATTTTAATTATCGTTATTGTTATCATATATATATATATATATATATATATTGACTGAGCAATTATTTAGTGCCACTTAATAACCTTTTCTGTAATATAAATACGACTGTACAGCTTGAAAATGAAGTCGTTGAAAAGAAATTTCTTCGCTGAACAAAAAACTGTGTTTTTACCTATGAATAAATGGGTATTTTTCGTGACTGTGTGATTTATCAAAATAAAATCTCATCCCTCATGGAGTGACATCACATTGTTATGCATAGTTATGTTGATTTAAAATGCTTTTAAAAGATGTGTTATACCAATTGTAAGTATTAAATACCAATTACATAATACAGAAAGCAGTAATCGGTTAGAAGCTAAAGTAAAATCAAATTCACTAAATTGAGTGACGTAACCTAATTGACAGAATTGAGTAGAGCTCAACTAGAATTGGTTCGAATCCCAGTGGGTGCGTACTGCCGATGATTCCCAAACTAGGATGAAACAGCAGCTGTCCAGTACTCCCTGGTTTTCAATGGTTCTATAACTGATATCAGTCCGTGATCAACTCGTAAAAACATAACTAATCCTTACAAACCAAACTATAGAAAATTAATCTGATGCTCGCTAGTGACTTGCTACAGGTTGGAGCTTCCTGGAGTTCTAGTGAGAAGTTGTGACCAGTGAGATCTAATTAGATGTCACGTGTGTGGATGGATGTCCCACCAACGACAATGGTTGGGGTCGCGCTAAATCACGAATTGGTAGAAGTTAGAATTCATGAGCCATTGAATCGGATCCCAGTGGCTGCATGGTATATGAGCCAGCTTGCCTTGTAACCGGAAGGTCCTGGGTTCGAACCTTCTGTGGTGGGTGCGTACTGCCGATGATTCCCAAATGGGGATGAAACAGCAGCTGTCCAGCACTCCTGGTTTTCAATGGTTCTCTAACTAATGATATCAATCCGTGATCAACTCGTAAAACATAACTAATCCTTAGAAACCAAACTATAGAAGATCAATTTAGTGTTTGAAAGCTATAAAAAAATTATAAAATCAAAATATTTAAAGAAAAAAAATTAGGATTAACAAAAATTACGTATCTGATGTCCAAACCAATTGGGTCCATTGTAGGTGAAGTATTCTGACCAATTTCTCTTGTATGCAGACTTCAGAATTTAACACGTAGATTGTCATAGCTTCTGCAGTTTGAAGAAGTTTGAGTCCTACTCCTCCGGTAAGATTCTTGCATACTCCGTAGATGACTTTGATTGGTTGGTTTGCAAGTTCGCTGATTAATATGTTCCAGAATAGAGCTTCGCAGGGATCATTTTGCTCCTCTGTAATACTATGAGGGTATAGGTGTTCTGTGATGGTTTTGGCTAGGGCTGGGATGACCGCCGAGTGGTCAAGGTGGTGGATATAAGATCCCCCGGGGTGTATCCCCGCGTGATTTCGAACTTTACTCCCAACAGGCGACTTTTGTGCATCGGTGGTCCAGCGGTAGTATGCTCTCCAACCACGCATGTTGTCCCCGGGTTCGAATCCTGACCGACTCATTCCTAAATCCCACTAAGCCGGTAATTAGCCCGGTAAAGACGGAAGGTTGAATGTGAGTTTAGCAACCCCACCCTGTAAGAAAGAATAACACCATTGATACTGAAACTTCTAAGCTAAGGCTTGGAGTCGTAAGTTCCACTGGGAGTGCAAAGGAATAAAATAAGTTAAAAGAATAAAAAGACTCTGATTACGACCGACACGCCTATCTCCACAGGAGCAGGTGGATCGATAGATACACAATGATAAGGGGAGTATTGGCAGCTTATTCTTCACGTTCAATCAAATCATTGGTTTCGTAGGAAATGTATCTGGACATTCAGCTGAAAAGAAAATTTCCTTCAATGAAGTGGACAAATAGTTTCTTAATATTTCTAGTGATGAGTGTCTATAGAATTTCAGATTGAGAAAGCGAAGTATTTTCAGGATGTGTGTGTATAATTTTCATGGTGTAGGTTTGATGGATTTTGTGATGAAGTCCTTAGGATAGCCATTTTCAATGAGGACCCTTTGTAGTGTTGCGGGTCATCTCCTTAATGGTATGATGGCCGCAATTATTAAGGATTCTGTGACTCGTTGAGAAGATTGAGTTTCGTTTGGTATGTAAAAGTAGCTAACTGTCATGCCGAGTTCGAGTCGTGTTCATCCTCGGCAACTTGATAGTATCACTAACCATCAAATAAATAAGAAGTGTGGCCCATTGATTGAAGCAAACAAGACCTACTTCAGGAATTGGCTTCCAGCCACATGATATAGACTCAAATCTATCTATTTTTTAAATAATATGCGTACTGAACAGGACTGTGATAATTTGAACTGATGCGCTTTTGCACAAAATTTTCACATTCATTATTCGGTTAATCCCTCTATGTTAAACACAACTAAAATGTTAACGTATGTGAGGGTTTGTTTTAATTTTGTGGTAGTGTGATACAGAAAATTTGTGCCGACGGAATATTATTCTCACATATTCCCACAGTTCAATTCGGCATTAGCAAAAGAATACGATATATCTATTTGAACATTCTATTTCATGTCGTTTGATGTAAACCGAAATCACACGCTCAGTGATTGGTTAGAGGATATAAACTGTAGATATATAAACAGCGGTTTGATTAATGAAAAATATACTTTGGCTTCTGTGTCTTGCCTTCTGTTGTTACACACTATCATATGCTGCCTTCGCCCGACCTCTCAGCAGCATTCTAAGTGAAAGTGTCTTCGCTGACGGCTCTTGAACGACATTCAACTCCGCAACAGTCTCGAAGTCTTTCAAGATGATCCATATGTCTCTTTCTTCAAAAACTGCAGGCCATGGGATTTTCATTTCTCGACAGGCAGCGACACCAAATGTAGCAGCAGAAGGCAAGAAGCCAAGGTATATTTTCCATTGGTCAAACCGTTGTTTATGTATATACATTTTATATTCTTTAACCAATCACTGAGTGTGTGATTTCGGTTTGCATCAAACGACATGGAATAGAATGTTCAAATATATGTATCGTATTCTGTTGCTAATGCCGAATGGAACTGTGGGAATATATGTCAATAATATTCCATTGGCACACATTTTTTGTATCACACTACCACAATTTTACTATTTCCAAGTATCACTTATACTTATCTTTTATCAGTATTCTATATTATTTTTACCTGCACTCACTCTTGCTGGTGAGCCGCTTGAAGTTGTTGATAAGTTTGTGTATCTGGGTATTTGTGTGACTGCTGGTGGAGGGGTGACAGACGAGATTTCCAACCGTGTCATGAAGGCTAGGGTGGCATACATCAACTTGAGCCACCTCTGGCGCCGTCGCGACGTTAGTCTGTCTGTCAAAGGTCGGGTATGCAATGCTTCGGTATGGGCTGTCTTGCTCTACGCCTGTGAAACCTGGCCTCTTCGAGCTGAGGATGTGCGGTGGCTCTGTGTATGCGTTCGATAGCATCATCGCATGAGTAATTCTGGGGTTCGGCGGCGTGTATTTGAACACAGTGGAGATTACCATTTGTTGAGTGTTGTCATCTGGAAACACTGGCTTCGGTGGCTTGGACATGTGCTGCGAATGTCATCTCAGAGGCTTCCGTACAGGTCTCTGTTCGCTAGCCCTGAGACAGGATGGAAAAGGTGGAGGGGTTGTCAGTCCATGACGTGACGTCGTGGGATGAAGGATATTTGTGCTAGATTAGCATCGGTTGGTGTGTCACGACTCCCTGGTTGGAGTTCGAGAGATAGCTCTAATCAATGGCTCGAAACGTTATCGGATATGGCCAAGAATCGTAATCAATGGCGAATGTGCTGCAGTTTCCTTCTTTCTTCCCTTCCTGATGATAGTTGACGAAAACTGTTTGAACTTGTTAAGTATGGCTGTTTTCCTTCCTGATGAAGTTCTTTATCTGTTCTCCACCCATATTTTTACTTTTGATTTATGTTGTTTTATTATTATTATTATTGTGTGGCGCATCTTCTTGGTGCCATATAGTACCAATAAAATGAAATAAATTCCCTATTATTTTATTTATTGAATAATATTTTGAATTGTTTAACTTTTTTTAAAATTTCTTCCAATTATGACAGTTATCTACCTGTAGTTTGGCTAGTTCAGTCAATCTTGATTATGAATCATTTGAAAGTCAAATTTCATCTATGAAGACGACATCTTATACACCTATGAGGTTGTCTACTAGGAGTAAGACAAGTCACAACAACAAGTCAGAAATGCTTAGAAATTCTAATAACACAATACAGAAAAATCATTCATTGGTGAATGAATCAAATGAAACACCTCCAAGTTTACAACTTGTTTCTTTAAATCAAGACATGAAAGAAATGGCAGTGAATTCAAATTCATGCAACAGTTCATCATCATCATCATCGTATCGGTATAATGATGAAAATGAACCAAGGTGAGTGATATATATATATTTTTCCTTTCTACATTAACACATTTGTACAGTGAAGGAATCTGTCTGTCTGGATTCAACATAGAACTTGGCACCGAAGTGCAGCAGTTCGAGTTGCCACGTTCCAAATAGCACACAAAGGTAGACAAGAAGATGAGTGAAGAGAATCAATAGAGTTTTGACAAGTTTAAGAGTGAAACAGAATGAGTAATGGTAGAGAGGAATATGAAAGATTACAGAGACTGAATACATCTGCGTAAGCCATTGACAACGATTTTGAGCCATGTCGCCTATTGTCTCCAGCCATTGATTCTTAGAGTCCCGAGGGCCCCAACCTGGAAGTCTGCATCTCCCTACCTGACTCAGTTTAACTGTCAAGGATTTCATGGATTGATGAGGCCATGTTTTTGTTTGGCCACCACTTACTCTTTTCCAACCTGCACCTATATCAGCTAGTAAAGCCCATCGGGAGGGGGAGGCGACGGTTAGGCATGCGCAGCACGTGACCTAGCCATGTCAATCTATGTAACTTTATAGCCTTTTCGATTGATTTTCCCTCTTTGCCCAACACTCTACGCTTAACGTCAACATTACTTACCTTATTATACCAACAGTGAATGAATACATTTCCTCAAAATTTTTTTGGGGGTTGGGTGGGCGGTGGTAGAAGGATAGTTTATCTACTTCAAAAATGAGTATCTAATCTTCTCAATGAAATTTATATTTCAATACTAACCGAGACGTGTGCGTAGATGGTGACTTACAGTGGTTTTTTAAACGCCGAAACGTCATCCACTAGACTACTGCTGCTAGCCACCATACACTAAATAACATTCTTGTTAATCCTTAGACATCGTCGAAGCTTCCGTGCTAAGATCCGACAAGTCAAAGCAAGCTGAACATCTCAGTTCAATCAAGACGTGATATCCGGCTATCTATGAAAGGGCGGGTGTACTGCTCATCAGTCCGCTCCGTCCTCCTTTATAGCTGTGAGACATAGCCACTGAAAGTGGAAGATACGAAAAGCCTGGCTAGCTGTCTTTGATCGTAGGTGCCTGGATTGTATGTCTTGTGCGAAGTAGTATAATAGAGTAAGCAATATTGAGGTTAGGCATTGGTCGAGTGCTAGGTAAGGAGGGGAAATCAATTGACGAGGGTGTGAAGCTACATCGACTGAGATGGTTAGGGCATGTGTTACGTATGCCTAGCTCAGTCATCGCCTTCCTTGACGGTCAATGTTAGCTGACATAGGGTTGGAAAAGAGTTAGCTAGTGGTAGTCAAACCAAAACATGGCTTCATCAGTCAATGAAATGCACAACAGTTATTTGAAGCCAGTCGCGTAGGAAGATACAGACTTCCTGGTTGGGGTTCTCGGGCCGGTCAAAACCAATGAGGGCTGTAGACAATTTGTTATATGGCTCAAAATCGTTCTCAATGGCTGGCGGAGATGCATCCACTCCTTGTGACTTATAATTTCCAATGAAATTATATTGTTCTTCGTTATTACTATTCCTTTGATTTTTTTGATTTTGATTTTGATTTACAGCTTGATTCCACACCGTATTTTCAGTACAAGTATGGAATTTTCAGCATGGATATCGGTAGCCCAAATTCAGGCCGACCATAGATATCGGGTGTGCGCCGGCAGGGGATCGAACCCCGGACCATGTGCATGGTCGGCGAGAGTCCTAACCACTGTGCCACCGACGCACAGTGGTCTCATATCCCTGTCTACTGTCTCTATTATGCATTTCTTCTACTTTCTTCTCTTGTTTTGTGTGCTACATGGAGGGAGTTTGGCAACTGGAACTGCTGCACATCTGTGCAAGGTTCTGTGTTGAAAACAGACAGACAGACAGGTTCAATGATACCAACAGGAAAAACAAAAATTGACTGAAACACAGATAATGTCACTGTATTATAAACTGGAACTTTGACATATCGGTGTTTTGCCGGTTGCCTTCCATCCAGTGGATCAAAGGTTCGGACCTCCGCTCCACCTACCCACCTGCCAAGGTTTGTGCAGTTGACTAGTATGTATCACTAGTCGTGACACGCGATATCTGTTGTGGGGCTCATTGTCAGCTGTATATGAAATTGCATTTAGTTGTTGTGAGTAACATTTCATTACATTTTTCACTCTTTTTACTCACTTTTCAGTGGTAAAATATTTCACTAACTATCGAGCATATTTATTTTATTTTTTGGATTGATTTTCAACATAGAAGTGTGCACAGAAGTGCAACTGTTCAAGCTGGCATAATTTATATAGCACATAAAAGTGGAGGAAAATAGAGAGAAAAACATACTGAAAAGATTTTTGATAAACAGAAATGTGCTTGGAGAAAGGATAAAAACACATTGAAAAACATAAAAGTTTTAGTGGATCTAGAATTACGAAGAATAAATACATTTGTGCCACTGACAGTCCTTTTTAGCAACTGATTCTTAGTTTTTTTTCGAGGACTTCAACCAAGCAATCTACATCTCTATACGTCGGTAAAATCCACCATTCGAAGATTTCATGAATTGATGCCAAGTCTTGATTTTAGTACTTGCAACTCTTTTTCAACCCAGCTCTATGTCAGCTGCCATTGCTTATTAACTTACTCAGTGATGTTATGCTTTTTATGACGTAATAACCAGAAGAAATACTAATATTGTTGTGGTGAAATTTAGGGTTAATTATAGCGTAACGACAGAAGACAAGGGTCAGGCAACAGATCGTTTGTTGAGAAAACCAACAGATATTTATATATTTTTATGTACATTTTTATTCGTTATTATTAGCAGGGAAACCGCGTCTTCTGATTGGTCGTTTTTATCACTGTCATCTCTTTGTGGCCGTTTCTTTGAAGGTCAGACCAATATCTGCGAATCGTATCCGCCCACTCAAAGTCTGCTGTGATTGGTTGTTGAGTTAGTCTTTGTTTTTTTCTCATGACCAAGATTTGGGACGTAAAAATTGATACGTAAATTGCTGTCTACCAATTTCGGCTAGCAGACAGCTCTCACCACAATAGTATTCCAACTTGTTTTTTTCTTGGTTTTCTGCATCTTCAGATAACCATTAGTAGTATAGCGCCTTTTATGCCTTACGATTTGATAAGCAATTACTTTAATTTAACACAGTGTATCTTATACCGTCTTCTCTTTCGATAATGTTTTTTTTTTTTGTTTTTAGGGTGTTCGAGGATTCATTCTACTCTGCAAAAAGTGATCTTATTCCTGAGCCTACTTCTCCTGTGTCTAAACGGAGTAATTTCCTAGAAGAGAGATTATCACCACATGAAAAACTCAGACTCTGTCAATTGCTTCACTCACCAATACCTCATTGTCATCTAGGCTATAATGGTATGTCTTTTATTGTATGCATATTTTTTTTCCTCTCATTTATTCTGAGAGTTAACATATTGACGTATTGGATTTAATTTTTGAAGTGTTGCTTTGCAGGGTTTGATCATCAGCTGACGTCAGTTAGAGAAGCATTGGAAAACCAGTGAGCAGTACTGGTGGACATCTATTCCTTCCTAGTTTCGGACTGTGGTTCGAACCCTAGGACCTTCCGGTTACAATGCGACCTTGTATGCCATTCATCCACTGGGACCCGATCCAATAGTCATACAATTTCATATATATAATTTTTTCACAAATAAGATGTATTCGTATTTAATTGGTGGATGGTGACTAGCAGTGGAATGCAGGATGCACATTTCGTCCTATTCGGGACTCGTCAGCCACTGGATGTACCTGCATTTCTCAGTGAGTGATGATGTTCCCATCGAGGCTCGAACCCAGCGCCCATAGTTTTAAACGCCAAAGTGTTAACCACTAGACCACTTGGGCCACGAGAGCCACCTCTTGTGCAACGGGCCATGTTAATTTAATTGATTTTTAGATTTTCCCGTCGATTGATTGGACCAAAGTGCACGTCTAAGGTTGACATGTCGGCTTCTTGTGCAGATGCTTCGACGATGTCTGGGTTCGAGCCTCGATGGGAACATCATCACTCACTGAGAAATGCTGGTACATCCAGTGACGAGTCCCAAATAGGACGAAATGCGCATCCTGGATTCCACTGCTAGTTACCATCCACCAATTAAATACTAATTAAATGTCCAGACATCGTCGAAGCATCTGCACAAGAAGCCGACATGTCAACCTGAGACCGAGCACTTCGGTCCAATCAATCGACGGGAAAATCTAAAATTCAATTAAATAAGATGTATTGTTATAATGATGGTTGCTAATATTGACCAATACATTCCAGAATTTGAATAGGAGTGTTAGGATTATCTAATGGGAGGAATAATTTAGTGAGTAAATTGCGATTAGAATGCACATAGAAAAAAGAGGGAAAAAAATGGCCGAGTTAAGTGTTAATTCTTTCCATCAGCATAGTTTTCATAAATCACTGTGATGTTTTTCTGTGATATTTCCAAGTTATGCAATACACATTTTTTGATATATTATTCCTCTGCGTTCCGAGTGGGGAACATATAGGGCTTCAAGCTTAAGTGTTGAGGTTTCAGTAGCATTGGTATTTTTTACTGGATAATTTTGTTTACTTTGCGCCCAACTTTCCCTCTTTACCAGACTGACTACGGGCTAAGCGGGATTGAGGAGTGCATTGGCCGGAAATTGAACCCGGAAACGTGAGGTGTGGTTGACGACCAGTGAACTACTGTTGCAATAAGAAAGTTTACAAATAAGCATTTAAAGGAAAATATTAATTAGTTCAAATTTAGCTCCTTCATATCAAGTTTGTTGACATATAAAACAGAACATATTCGATCAAAAGCAGTTACCGTCATAGTGTAAATTATTTACACTATGCTGGAAGTCTATGAGCGAAGGTGTACTGTTGGGGATGTAACAACAATGAGGTGTTTCCGTCGAATAACCAGCATGCCAGCTATGCTGCATCTTCATTCTGGAAGGCTGAGTTAGGAAACGTTGATCCCGGGAGTGGTGGTACATCCCGACCTACCTTACGGTGGTCCGTAGCCGGCGGTAAGATCTTACTATGGATATAACTTCAAAAACCAATTCAAACAGGTCGTGTGTGTCACTGACCTTCAACAACTGTCCCCTGGACTCTGCGGTCACTCAACACTAATGCTATTTCTGTTTCAGGTTCACCTCTCTATCTCAGCTTCATTGACTTTGAAAAGGCCTTCGACAGCATCGATCGAGAGGTGCTTTAGCAACTACTTCGCTACTATGGTGTGCCACCGCCAATTATACTTCTCATCCAACAGCTGTACGACAATGCTGCATGCCAAGTAATCCACAACGGGAAACTTGCGGAGTCCTTCGAAGTGAGGACAGGAGTAAGACAAGCTGGCTGCCTACTACCGCCAATGATTTTCCTGATTGCAGTAAATTGGATAATGTGACAAACAGTGGGGAATGAGGTAAAGGCATAAAATGGATTCACACAAAACACTTGGAGGATTTGGACTTCGCCGATGATATATGTCTGATTTCCCACAAACTGGAAGATATGCAAGCGAAAAGCAACAAGTTGGCAGAAGAAGCATCCAGAGTAGATAGGACTTCAGGTGAACATAGAGAAAACAGAGGTGATAAAGACTCATGGCCAACACCAACAACAACAACAGACAACAATCAGCATAAATGGGAGGAACCTGAAAGAAACAACCTCCTTCACCTACCTACCTGGGAAGTATTGTTTCAACTACAGGCGGAACTGACGAGGATATCAAAGCAAGACAAGCTTTCACTACTCTCAAGTCTGTGGAGGTCAACAGCATTCAGCACAAAAATGAGAATAAGATCCGGATTTTCAACTCCAATGTGAAGTCAGTGCTACTATACGGATCAGAGACTTGGCCAGTGCGTCATAAAGAGCATCTCAAACAAACTACAGACCTTCATCAACAGCTGTCTTCGCTCAATAATCAAGATCAGATAACCGACCAGGAAAGATCAGCAACAGGGAGGGATCTCTGGGAGCAAACCAACCAGGAACCGATTGTGAAACAAATAAGCAGGAAGAAATGGAGATGGATTGGCCATATTCTGAAGAAACCATCAAGTGACATCACTAGACAAGCCATTGCTCGAGTGTAAGCCGAAAGGGAAGCGGCGAGTTGGTCGTCACTGCAAGGGTGACTTGGAGGAGGTCATGTGAAGAGGAGATGAAAACGTGTGGGCAGACTTGGAGCCAAGTGAAGACTCTAGCAGAGAACCGAACGCAGTGGAGACTTGTGGCTGAAGCCCTATGTTCCTCTAGGAATTCAAGGAAACAGTAATAATAATAACACTAGAGGGGAAAATGTAATGTTTGTACCAGTATACTCGAAACTGAATTGCTATCTGTAGGCGTACTTGCACAAGACTGCACTTAGTATTCGTAGAACTTTATCACTTCAAACTCCTGGACACTACATTAAATTACTCTGATGAGGACAGTCTATATTAATCTGATCAAACATTTTCTTTAACAAGTTTAAATTCTTGTCATTTTTCCTCTCTTGTATTTCAGATCCTTATTGTTTAACTGACATAAAACGCAAAACGTCTTTGTCTATGCGTGAATGCATGTCTTCGCCAATTTCGCAAAAACCATCTTTAAATTTTCCAAGTCACCCTTCTGCTTCAATTGTTAAAGTGAGTTGTTTGTTGTTAATGTTTGAAATACAGTTTGCCGTGATAGGTAAAGGAAAAAGTTTATTGAGAATATTCTGAACAGAATTCCTAAGTAGTATAAGTATAACCTTTAAGATAACTAACTTTAAAAGTTCACGTAAATAAATTTTCTTGGTTTCTCTATTATTAATACAACCTGTTCATATCGCAAATCATATCCAAGCCTCTGAAATAGGGAGTGAAGTGGTAGAGGGTGTTGACCGCTTCACTTATTTGGGAAGTTGCATCAGCCAGTGTCATCAGGTTGATCGCTGACGAAATTTCAGCACGGATGCAGAAGGCTAGTTTGGTATATGCCAGTTTACGCCATCTCTGGCGTAGACGTGTTATCGGACTGGCTAGCGACCAAAGGGCTCAGCGATCCGTTCCGTCCTCTTTTATAGCTGTGCGACATGGCCACTGAAAGTGGAAGATACGAAAAGCCTGGCTAGCTGTCTTTGATCATACGTGCCTGGATTGTATCTCCTGCGTGAAGTAGTATAATAGGGTGAGCAATATTGAAGTTAGGCATCGGTCGAATGTTAGGTAAGGAGGGGAAATCAATTGACGAGGTTGTGAAGTTACACAGATTGAGATGGTTAAGACATGTGTTACGCATGCCTAGCCCAGCCATCGCCTTCCTCGACCGACGGGCAATGTTAGCTGACACAGGATCAAGTTGGAAAAGAGCGAGTGGTGATCAAATCAAAACATGGCTTCATCAGTCAATGAAATTCACAATAGTTAGTTTAAGCCATGTGGGAAGATATAGACTTCTTGGCTGGTTGGGGTCCTTGGGCCGGTCAAAACCAATGAGGACTAGAGTCAATTGGTGATATGGCTCAAAATCGTTCTCGATGATGGCGCAGATGCATCCACTCCTTGTGACTTATAATATCGCATGAAACCATTTTGTTCTTCGATATTACTATTCTTTTCGCTTCATATCTCTGTTTGCTGTGTCTATTTTGCATTTGTTTTTACTTCTCTTGCTTTGGCTTTGTGTGCTGATTGAAGTGTTGCGACTGGAACTGCTGCACATCGGTGCAAAGTTCTATTTCGAAACTGGTCAGTCATAGTTCAGTAGTGCTCATGAAATTAGTATAGTTTATATTCCAGCCCATGGATTTGCATATGTGTTTGCCTAGCAACTATTGTTAGACATATTATTGTGCTGAGTGCTTCAGTTTATTTAGTATATTTATTTTCAAACACTTCTTCAATCATAGAAGTGTTAATCTGGTCTATCACACTCAGTTTATCATGTTGGTGATCATCTGCTTTATTTGTTTTTAATTTTATCTAATTGTCATTTTAGACTCCGGTGTATCCATCAACTCGAAATCTTCAGCTATCTATACCAGATAATGTACCATTGAAATCTGCTGCATCATTTATGACTCCTCCTCATCAAATATTGTCTTACACCCCCATCACCACCACCGCCACCATCTCCACCACCAAGTCATTGTGTCCTACAACTTTATCTCCTATCAATGAACATAAATCGATAAAAGATAACTTCAATAATTCCTCAGATAATCATTCTCCAGCAATTAATTCAATGCATATTGCTACAACAGAATCACTGAAGCATACCTCATCTCCACAAAGTTTATCTAATCGTCTGTTAGGTACACCAGAGTATTTAGCTCCAGAATTATTACTTCATCTATATTCTAAAGATGCATGTGATAGTCCAGCAGTTGATTGGTGGGCATTAGGTGTTATATTATTTGAAATGTTAACCAGTACAACACCATTTGCAGATGATACTGTCGAGAAAGTATTTCATAATATACTCAGTTTAGGTATGTTCCTTTCAATAGTATGAATTATTTTTTTGCTTTTCTATTTCATTTCTGTCACGTTTTATTACATAATTCATGAAGTTATTATCCTTGGATTGGGCGCATATTTGTCTATATGGTATCAAAATAGGTGATTATCCTCAATGAAATCAATTGCTCAAATGTTAGTTAGAATTCTGTTACTTGGATTCGATTTTTAGTGTGTTCGACCCGGGGGGGGAACACTTACTGGGTGGTTGTGTAAGAGCTGTTGATACTACCCAGCTGCACTAACATTGGTAGATGGAGTGGAGTTCGAACCCGTGACTCCTACTGGTTGAAAGTCGACAGCCTAGAGCCACAGCTCCGCATAAGGAAAGATAATACGCTACTACGCAATTGCTCTTAGGCTTGTTCAAGTAGAGATGGTGTGGAACATAACCCATTTTGGTATGTCTATTCAATTCAAGCTATTACCATTCAACGGCTGAGGCGTGTTTTTTGAAGCTTGTTTCATTTACCTCTGGACTAGACAGTCAGATAGTGTCATCAGTTTTCATACAGTAAATTTGTCTGATTGCCATCTGCATAGATATGGATATGCTTGTTGAAAATTAATCTGATGCTTGTTAGTGACTGGGAGCTACAGAAGGAAGTTGCCTGGAGTTCTAGTGAAAAGTCGTTGTTCATTTGTCGCGTGTGCTACTGACAAGATGTATCAGTAGTATATAGAGGCAGATTGATAGAAAGCAGTCAAAACGGAGATCAACATTTTAAGTCAATGGCTGCAGAGGTAGGAGGACTTATTCCTCAAATCTGCATTTAGTTTACGTTGTGGTCAGGAAATAATTTCAATGAACAACTTTTCTCCTCAAGGCTTAACCCTGGGCCAATCGATGACCAATCAAAACAGTTTATTGTCCTCTGACTTATCCGACCTTTAATATGGCTAAAAATTTATACATATGGTGTGTTTTTTGTTGACAAAAAAGTTCGTCACCAAATCTCCTCTTATCAATGTCTTTCCGTTAAGGTCAATTACCTGGGACAGATTTGTCATCTGCCGGGACTCATTAAGAGCCTGCTGATACTTACTACCAGAGTTATCCATGCCGAAATAGACGTTGAAGGTCTCAAATCCATGACCTGTCCACTGAAAAACCAGGAACTTGAAGCAATGCTCTGCATATCCACGTTTTTTGATGCTGACATAAAATTTTATAGCTGGAAGTCACTGCCCAAGTGTTGTTTTCCCACTTTTCCCGGTATCTAATCACTGTCAACTAACCTACGTCTTTCTAGCCTTCTGATATGGTTGTCTATGTCCAGTTTGAAAATAAACCAGTTATAATTGGCCAATATAAAATACCGCACACTAATTTATTGGTCGTGATTACAGACTATTTGACATAGCCATGATGATATTTTGAATCGAATATCATTGCATGAAATATGCTTTGGAGCTCACATCGTTGTGTGTTCTCGCTTATGTAGAGTGAGCTGTGGAAACAGGCAGCCGTGTTACTATTTATTATTAACAAAGAATTAAAGTTTTCAAAAGAACAAAGAGTACTCTTTTCGATAACTTCATCATCAGGCTCTACAGTTATATATACATTGTAGTGAATGAATGAATTAGTGTTATGAACAACATTAATGTTCGTCTAAATAACATCGAATTAATAATATCAATAGATTACAGTTCAGTAGCATCAACATAAAGATAAACTGAAAGTCAGAAAGATAATATTATAAATTCATGAATTTTTAGTCTCTACTGAAGGCCGGCCACGGCAGTAGTAGGGGCTGGCTGGACTTGCTTCTTTTGAACACACAGAGCACTGGTGGTTTAAGACGAATTGCAATCGCCTCTGCTGTTTGGAGCATGTGGTGCTTCGATGATTTTGGCAATTTGTTAGGCACCCGGTAGATTATAAATTGTATTGTGAAAATTCACTTTATAATATTTGCGCATTAGGTTGTGAATATTTCCCTGGCGAAAAGAAAATCTTTCTGACCTCTAACGTAAATATCTCACATATAGAAAAAAGACGAGCGATTCTATGGCATACTATTCGCCGTATCTCATTAGCAGATTACCTACTGACTGGATTTCAGCGTACAACATTTGACAGAAGTATGGTGGTTCAAGCTGCTAAATTATGTTCAATGGATGTGTACGCGAGAAAGAAGAATTATATATTAGAGGAATACGAGAACCTAATCGGTCTGGGAGATTACAATAAGCGAATGCATCCGTGTACCACTAACAGTGATTTCGAACTATATGTCACTGACAACAGTCTCAAGTCATTTGGCTCTTAATATCTCGACGACCTTAGCCATACAGTCTACAGTTGTTGTTTTTTATGTGTCTCGAACCAACAGTCAAAGACTATGTGGATCGGATCGACACCAGCTATTGATTTGATTAGCAGACCACACTGTACACCAACAAAGGACTAAATCAGTTGTGTTTTTTTTGAGGCTGAAGTTTCAGCAAACCTTTCTGAGGTTTCAACTTCAAATCAAAACTTGAAATCATTGAATGCATGAAAGCAAAATAACAATGGAGAACGAACGAAATATTCCCATATTGAGTCATAAGAAAAAGGCACAAACAGCGAAGAAAATTTTCTTTTCAACGATTCATTTTCATGAGCTGTACAATCGTAATTATAATTAACAAAGAAATCTTTGGACCAATCAGATACTGGTAAATTTTGTCCTTGGAAAATTGTATTACATAATGTAACGTGTAAGAAGGGATGACTAATTGTAAGTTAGAAAGGAGACAGAAGTTGGCATGACGTAATAAGTGTGAGATAATGAGTAATCAATAAGCTCGTGTAAAATGGACAGGAACTAGTGGAAAGGCTATAAAGTGTTTTTGTATAAAATATGTATGGAAAGCAATGTTATTAATAAACAGTAATAGAGTGGTAATAAAAATGTAGATGGTGGGAATAACAATGATAATAAAAGTATTAATAAAATAATAATAATAATAGTGAACTTATATAATAAAGGAAAGAAGCAAAGTTGTGGTAAGAACTTTACTCTGGCCATGGTAGGGCAAGAGAATGTATGCATCGCTTTTGGATGCAGAGGTCCGCTTTCAGATCTCGAATAGCTAATGCTTCAGCTATGTACAGATTGCGTATCCGAAGTCCCTTTGTACGATATTGAGGGACTCTGTATAGTAGCATTGTGAGGCACTCATGCAGATGGAGGTGCTCGATATCCAGAGATGACAAGGTGTTCGAGGATGGAGCTGCTACTATTCTTCTTTTCTCCTCTGGCTGGCTAACCAAGCTGGACAGTGTTTCAGAATACGTTTGTGGACTTGACGTTGCGTACGGCCGATATACTTTGCTCCACACGAGCAAGTTAATTGATAAATACACATTGAAGTGGCCAAAAGCGGTATCATGTCCTTAGCGTTAGACTGGATTAACTGTCTGCAGGAAATGTGATACGTAGGGTTGCTGTTGAAAATGTTTTCTTCAGACATTTAGAAAGGCGGTTTCTGAGAATATCCGCTCTGACATCACCTTTGAATTCTAGTTTCATGAAGAAAGTCTTCTTAGGAACCGTTGCGATGTTTGACACCGGAGGCTCATGAAAATGAATCGTCGAAAAGAAAATTTTCTTCGCTGTTTGTGCCTTTTTCTCATGAAACAATGGAAAAGTTTAACTCGTACAGTTTTCTTCGTTTATCGTATTATCATTCTCTTCCATCTGCATATTGAATTTCTTTTTCGTTTTATAGATATACAATGGCCTGTTGTTATCTCAGATTGCTCGGATAACTCAAATAGTGCATCCTCATCGCCATCGCAATCACCATTGCCGTCATCCTCATCACCATCGCAAGATAATCCTATCCTTTCACAATCAGCTGTCAAGTTGATTACCGGTTTATTATCTTATAATCCTGTTGATAGACTTGAAGTTGCCAGTCAATTGAAGACGTATGATTTATTAAAACCAGTTGGTGATTGGAATAATTTGCATAATATTGAAATGCCTTTCATACCTCATCCGGATAATTCAATGGATACATTTTATTTCGATGTAAGTATGTTGAATATGTATTATATGCATATAGGGCTGTATATTTCACACAGCACCATTCAACTTGTATTAATAATTTACTATCTAACTGACCGATTGAGTTCCAGTTTAGAGTTGTTGCACTCCATGTCATGTAGCACAAGAAAGCCAATAACCCCTGGCGTTTCTAGCTGGTCATCAATGAAGGTGTCTGACTGCCCGACTGACTGCTTTCAACATGGGACTTTGCGCAGAAGTGAAGCAGTTCTAGTTGCCACATTCCATGAAGCATGCAAAGGAAGATGGAAGAGAGAAATAGTAGTAACATGGAAAAACAATAGATGTTTTTGGATGTGGTAGATTACAAAGATTTAATGACTTTGTGCCATGTCATCAGTTGCTTGCTACACTATGACGTGTAGCGCCTTAGCCTTTATCAGCCTCATTCAACAGCTGGCTATGTGATGGCGCCATGTGTCAGGGTGATTCACAATGGAAAACTCGGTAAGGCGTTCGAAGTGAATACATGAGTGAGGCAAGACTGGCCGCCTATGATCACCACGGATGATATTTTTTATTGTGGTGGACTGGATTATGTGCCAGACTGTACGTTGGGAGTGACAAGACAGGAATGCGTTGCATTGGTTGATAAGAAGACTCTAGAAGATCTGGATTTCATGCATGTGGGTGATTTATTTTTAGTGTCACACAAACTCGAAGACTTACAGACAGGCAGGTGAAAACCAACAAACTGGCTGGAGTAGCAGCTGGCAGTGAAGACAGGACTCCAGGTGAACATAGAGAAGGTGGAGACAGAGGTGATGAAGATAACCAACTAACAGCAACTTATCAAGGAAGTCAGCAATATTTCAACCACAGGCACGGATGAAGATGTCAAAGTCAGCCAACCAGAATCGGAAAGACAAGATACCCCTTCATCAGCTTGAAACCAGTTTGGAAATCTTCTGCTGTCACTCCACAGCATATAGAACAGCATTCCGATTTCCAACACAAATGTCAAGTCAGTCCATCACTTCTTCTATATGGGCTAGAAAATTGCACTGTGTGTCCGAAAAGGATTTCCAACAGGCTAATGCAGACTTTTGTCACGATTACCCCCTTCGCTGGTTTCATACTGAAGATCAAATGGCTGACCGACTTGGCGTTGGTGTTGTAAATACGAATCCTGTTCTTTATGCTGAGTTAGTGGAAAAGATTGCCAAACTGGTCGCAGGTTGATTAAGGCGTATCTTGCCCTTGGCTTTTGATATCTTCATCCGTGCAGTGTGCCTGTGTTTGAAACAACGCCTACTGCCTAGATAAGTGAAGGAAGTAACCTCTGTCAAATCTCTCCTGTTGATAGTGATTGGTGCTGGTTGTTGTTACTGTCGCTGTTGGTTGGTTATCTTCATCCCCTCCGTCTGCACCTTCTCTATGTTCACCTGGAGTCCTGTCTTCACTGCCAGCTGATACTCCAGCCAGTTAGTTGGTTTTCGCCTGCCTGCCTGTAAGTCTTCGAGTTTGTGTGACACTAAACATAAATCACCCACACTCATGAAATCCAGATCTTCACTGACGTATACGTATATATATCCTTTTGTCATGGTCCTTAATGTGCTGTACTATTATTATTATTATTATGTATTTTAATTTTTCAGATCCGTAATCAATACAATGCATATACTGAAGAGGATTTACGTGTGCCTGTAACCTGATATCTGTAATAGACTGATGAATATTAATTAATTTTACTGTGTACCTTATTATTATTATTATATATTTTATATCCTACACTAAGTGACATTTATTTATTTATTATTCAAGTATTCATTTTAATTTCATAGTATGTCTTTGTACCTCTTTTCCTGTTCCCCTCTTCTTTTTACTTCCTAATGAATGTATTTATTACCAGTGGCATTATTACTAATTTCTCTCTCTCTGTCCATCTATATATATATATATATATATATATATATATATATATATGGCCCTATTCAGGCAGTGACTTGGGGTTCTAGTGGGAAGCCGTGACCAGTAGGGTACAGCAGGTTGAAGATGAGGCAGTAACTCATCGAAGAAGACATTGCGAAATGGTCGCGCTATGTCGTGAATATTGGCAGAAGTTAGAATTCATGCACTGGCCATTGGATTGGCGGGTCCCAGTGGATTAATGGTCTACGAGCTCGCTAGCCTTGGAATCAGAAGGTCGTGGGTTCAGACCCTAGTAGTGGGTGCGTACTGATGAAGAGTCCCGAACTAGGATGGAGGAAACAGCTGTCTAGTACTCCCAGGTTTTCCTGTGGTTCACAAACTGATGTCAGCTCATGATGAAATTCATCATCCAATATATATATATATATATATATATATATATGCGTCTACATAAGTGTTATAATGGAGTGTTACTGATTCGTGTTTGTTGTCTAACTTGACTAGAATGCACCTTCAGACACGACACTATAGCCAAGTGATCATCTAAAAATAATATTCCCCCACGCTGAGATAGACACAAAGGTCTGATTTAGCTGCCGGTGCTGCTGCTACAACAACGACAACATTTTAACTATTTTATACTCAGGATATATGTAGTGTTCATGATATCTCGGGAATTTAAGCCATAAATCAATTATTATTATTATTGTATCCTTTAATTCCTACAGGAACATAGGGCTTCAGCCGTGCGTCTCCATTGCGTTCTGTTCTCTGCTAGAGTCTTCACCTGGCTCCAAGTCTGCCCACACGTTTTCATCTCCTCTTCACATGACCTCCTCCAAGTCACCCTTGCACTGACGACCAACTCGCCACTTCCCTTTCGGGTTCCACTCGAGCAATGGTTTGTCTAGTGATGTCACTTGATAGTTTCCTCAGAGTATGGCCAACCAATCCATCTCCATTTCTTCCTGTCTATTTGTTTTACAATCAGTTCCTGGTGGGTTTGTTCCCAGAGATCCCTGTTGCTGATCTTTTCTGGCCGGCCATCTGATCTTGAGTATTGAGCGAAGACAACTGTTAATGAAGGTTTGTAGTTTGTCTGATGTGCTCTTTATGACGCGCAGTGCAAGTCTCTGATCCGTATAGTAGCACTGACTTCACATAAATCAATAAATAAACAAAAAAATCTGATTGGTTGTAGGACAACGTTACAATCAAACCGAGAATAATCATCATTCAGACATTAGTGAAAAACGAAACAAGTAGTTCAGCTCAAAACAGTCTCTTTTCGGAGGCAAATTCAATCACTTAGCTGTATACTTATATATGTATGTGTTTGTGTGTGTGTGTGTACACGTTAGGTTTGTCTGATAAGAATGAAAATATGTTAGGGTTATTGTTGTCAAGACATTTCAAAAATGTGATGAGTGATCAAATTGTGATTAGGTGGGGGAGGGGGAGTGAAGATTGGTAAGAGGGTAGTGGTGATGTGTTGTCAAAAAACATAGTTATTAATGTTGATCAACACATGAAAGAAGTTGAATAAGTGTAATGCAGTTAGGTAGTAAGATGAATAGTTTAATGAGTGAGTTGTGATTAGTCTGCACATGGAAACAAAAAAATACGGAATTACGTAAGACTTATAAAAATTACAAATGTTATCAAGTTTATGTACAGAAATGTTTTAACATGCTTGCAAATTTTACATTATGTCAGTTGACAGTAGGTTCCACAATTAGTGAAGAGTGCTCAGAAAATTCCGCTTATATAGTTTTTGCACAAGCAGTTCAAGTTTAAACAAAATAAATGTATGCGTACAATGGTAAAGGAGTTACGTAATAAAGACGGGAGATGGGTAAGATGATGAGTGACTAATAAATTAGGTAACAATGTACTGAGTTCAACTCAAATAACAGAAACAAAGTTACACTATATCAAGGGGAGTGAGGTTAATTGCCAAAAATTACGTAATCAAATGAACGAGAGAATATAAACGCCAAGTTACCAGGACAAAGAAAGACTTATAAATACTTCTTTCTGAAGACATAAATCGGGCTTCAGAAGTTTGATAGAAATTGCTTCGGCAAACTTGAGAAGAACTGAGCCTATTTGTCCATTGATAATTTAAAAGAACTTCACGATTTCCACCTCATGACCCGCATCAAGCAGATGTCTGGTAACAGCACTCTTATTGGAGTTTTTTCCCTTGAAACGTAGGCTTTTCGGTACATGTTCAGAAAATTGGAGGTGTGCCCTTCTTTCTGTTCTCCCAATTTAACTGCTCCCGCAGATACATGAGAAGGGTACCTGTCGACTTTTGACTACACCAAGAAGCATGTTGTTCGATAGACGGGAACCAACTTAGCTGCAGGATAGGCTCTGGTTAGTGACATACTCAGTCTTCTGTTGACCATCGCTGCAATGTTTTCACCTTCAAAACAGGATTTTTTTCAACTGTGATTTGTTTGATGCTTGAGCCTTCACATCTTCCATATTTGTTAATGAACCTTTGAGAATAACCGTTGTTTTTCAACACCCTTTCGAGAATAGTAAATTCTCCCTCTAATTTAAGGAGGAGTTAACAAAAAAGAAGCATGAAAAATAAGATCCGAAATTTCGACACCAATGTGAAGTCAGTGCTACAATACGGTTCAGAGATTTCGCGCGTTACGAAGGGCACTTCAAACAAACTACAGACCATCATCAACAGTCGTCTTCGCTCAAGATCAGATGGCCGGCCAGGAAAGATCGGCAACAGGAATCTGTGGGAGCAAAGCAACCATTCAGGAACCGATTGTGCAACAAAAATGCAGGAAGAACTGGATTGGCCATACTCTAAGAAAACCATCAAGTGTGATATCACACTCCAGTTCATCGCTCGAGTGGAAGTAGAATGGGAAGTTGCGAGTTGGTCGTAAGTGCGAGGGTGACATGGAGGAGGTCATGCGAAGAGGAGATGAAAGCATGTGGGCAGACGTGGAGCTAGGTGAAAACGTTGGCGGAGAACCGAACGCAATGGAGATGTGCGGCTGAAACCCTATGTTTCTCTAGGAACTAAATGAAACAATAATAATGTATGATAATCAAACTGCAACTTGGGTGGGAGGTGAAGACTGATAAGAGGGTTGTGATGATGCGTTGTCAGAAAAAAATAGTTATTAATTGTTGAACAAAGAATATTCTTTTTGATGACTTCATCATCAGGTTTTACAGTTATATATCCATAATAAAGAAAGAATATTTTCTTTAGTTGGTTTGTAAGGATTAGTTTTGTTTTTACGAGTTGGTTACGGATTGATATCAGTTAGAGAACCATTGAAAACCAGAGAGTACTGGACAGCTGCCTCATCCTAGTTTTGGGAATCATCGGCAGTATGCACCCACTGCACTGGGGTTCGAACCCAGGACCTTCCGGTTACAAGGTAAGCTTGTATACCACTGGGGTCGCGCTAAATCACGAATTGGTACAACTTAGAATTCATGAACCATTGCGTCGGGTCCCAGTGGCTGAACTGTATACGAGCTAGCCTAGTAACCGAAAGGTCCTGGTGTTCGAACCCCAGTGCAGTGGGTGCGTACTGCCGATGATTCCCAAAATTAGGATGAAACAGCTGTTCAGTACTCCCTGGTTTTCAATGGTTCTCTAACTGATATCAACCCGAGATCAACTCGTAAAAAGAAAGAATAAGTGTTAGTGACAACATTAATGGTTTTTAAAAAGTAGCATCTAATCATTTAGATCAAAATTTTTTAGTTATTTGCAAATAGATTGTTAATACATCATAGTCCGGAATTTATGTATGTGGTAATTTGTATAAATGCAATACTAACTTTAACATCACAAAGTAAATGATTATGAATGACAATAGTAATAAATTCTCATGAATCATGTTCATATTAAGTTCTATTCATATTGTTTATGAACTTCAGATGGATGAATAATCATGTCAAGGACGGGGTAGAGAAAAAGGATGTTTTGGGGTTGAATTTTATGTGCGTTGTATGTGTCAGTATGTAATTCAACACCTACGTTTAAATAAGAAAATAAGGTTAGTTAATTCAAGTGTAATGACAAGGGATAGGGGAATTTATATGTACAGGATGGAGGGCCATAACAAAAGGGCCGGTGTAAAAAGATATTTATGAATTTGCAAACTCCACAGCAGGCCAGGGCAGTAATAGTGGTTGGACTTGTTTCTTCTGCACGCAGATCACCGGTTGTCTCAGGCGGATTGCGATAGCCTCTGCTGTTTAGATTATGCGGTACCTGGATGTTTCTTTTGCAATTTGTTTGGTACCCGACAGATGATGGAGGACTCTTCAATACTGACTTTGTGGCCGGTTTGGACTAGGTGTCCTAATATGGAGCTATTGATGCTTCTAACTGCACCTTTATTTAACCACACATATGTTCCTGAGCGAGCAGACAAAATCAAGTTTCTAGAGCAACGGCCGATACAACTGGTTCCACAAGCGCGGTTGAATTGTTAGATAAGATTGGAAGTTGCCAGTCTAGCTACTTCGTCTTTCAATTGAGGAATCACTATCGGTAGTGTAGAACATAAGACGTGTAGTTTGCCAGCATTAAAAGTTCTTCGAACTGATTTTCTTAACTTCTTCATAATTATTTCGCTAGGTATATCGCCCTTGAATTGCAGTCATATGTACAAACGGTTCTTGTTTACGGATAGTGAGTAGTTCTTTTCAACGTTCTTAGTCTTTTGTTTCCTGATGAATTTGTCTTGATAGCTATTTTCGATCAAGGTATCATATACAATCCTTAGTTTATCTTCATTTACTTCTTCTGAGCATATAGCTCTAACTCTGTGGCTGAGGTTACTTACTACATTTCTTTTGTACTGGAGAGGAACTAAGTTATGAAATTTCTAATGCGCATCTTTAATCAATAGTTATTAATGTTAATCAACACATAGAAGACGTTGAATAAGCTTAATACAGTTACGTAATAAGATGAATAGCCCCGGACCAAGTGTATGGTCGGCGAGCGTCCTAACCGCTATGCCACTGACTCACAACGTTCTCAAGATTGGTCGTGAGAAAATATGAACAAGACTGATTCAAAAACCGACCACAGCAGACTTTGCGTAGGCGGATACAGTTAACATATAGATGATCTGACATTCAAGAAACAGTCACAAAGAGATGAAAGATTAACTTTAAGTGAGAAACAACCAATCAGAAGACTGTGTTGTTTGCTTAATTAAACTATAATAATGTACATGAAAATATATAAATATGCTTTGATTTCCTTAATAAACGATCTGTTGCCTGGCCCTTGTCTTATGTTGTTACACCATGATAGTAGAAGTGGTTGGGTGATTTTCTTTTGTATAAATAACTCTGACTTTCCCAACTGAATGGCTAAGGCTGTAGCAATACATAGGAGACGAAAGCGTATTGTTTTTGGTAGGTTGTTCTTTACTTTGTAGATCACTTTGAGGGAGGCGTTTGTTTAGATGTAATGACCAGTGTTGGCGAGGTGTTTGATTATCACACTCCTTATACAGCCACTATTACCTTTATGTAACCATTCGGGATAGTGTTATTGAACACTTTTAGACAGGATACGCGTGGAATGATCAATGTACCTGGTTCCACAGCAAGCGGTGAACTGATATATGCACATAGAAGTGGCCAGATGCGATGTCTTGTCCTTAATTAAGGCTTCTGTAGATCTATGGACGATCGGAGAACGCTACTCTTAGTCTTGCTGCGAAGAGTGTTCTTTTCAAAGATGCTGAGGATACCACCAGCTAAGTCTCCCTTGAAATGCAGATTCATGTAAAGATTCTTTTTTGGAACAAGTGATGTCTCGTTCCTCTGGACCTTTGGTTTGATATTCTTGTCGATGAATCTTGTAGGATGAAGGTTTCTTCCAGAAGATCCAGTTCCGCTTCCAGTGTGTCAGATACATCGGATCCGAATAGCTAAGAGATTTAATCAGAATTCGTTTCCACTCAATAGGTACTCAACTTTAGAAACTGGTTATTTGACTGTTGCAAGTAGGTTTTCTGTGGATTGACCTTCTTGAGGTTCCGTTATGTCGTCTTATTAGTTGCACACAAGAAAGAGAATTTTGGATTCGCATTCCATTTCTAGAGTGAATTTTATTGCCGGATGGCAGTCCCAGAGACCATTGAGTCCATTATTAGCAGACTGCTTCATGGCTAGCTTTAAGAATGTTCCACTCAACTCGTCCATTCACAAACTGCAATTGTACAGACGATACGTAGATGACATTTTCATCGTTTGCGACAACAGTTACGATCAAAGTCAGTTGCTACAAATATTCAACAACTGCGATCCGGCAATCAAACCGAATATGAATCAATCAAAAACTATCCAATCAGATAATTATGTCAGTATTTATTATTGTTATTCCCTTGGCTTCCGTGTGGAACATAGGGCTTCAACACTACAACTTTACTTTGTTCTATTTTCCACCGTCCTATTAAGCTGGGTCCACGATTGCTCATAATCTCTCATCTCCTCCTCATACAGTCTTCTTCATGTCATCCTAGGACGACTCACTCGTCCCTTTCCGTCTCAATTCCACTCGAGCTATTGTCTGCATTGCGCGTGAGGTCATTCGATGGTTTCCTCAACGTATGCCCGATCCATCTCCATTTTCTCCTACATATTTGTTGAGCGATCGGCTCTTGGTTGGTTTATTGCCAGCCAGAGTTTCTTGTTACTAATTCTTTCTGACAGGCCAGCTGACCATTTGATCTTCAGTATAGAGCCAGCGAGCGAAGGTGGCAGCTGTTGATAAAAGTCTGAAGCAACCTGTTGGAAGTCATTTTCGTGACTCACACGCAGTTCAAGTTTCTCACCTCCATGGAAGAACTGACTGATTGACTTCACATTTGTGTTGAAAATCCGAATCTTGTTCTCTATGCTGAAACGGAGTGCACAAGCAGATTTCCAAACTGGTTTCAGGTTGATGAAGGTGTATCTTGCCTTTCCGATTCTGGCTGGCTGGCTGTGATATCTTCCTCCGTTCCGACTGTTTGTGTTTGAAACAATGCTTCTGTCTAGATAAGTGAAGGAAGTAACCTCTGTCAAGTCACTCCCGTTGATGGTGATTGGTACTGGTTGTTGTTGCTGTAGCGGTTGCCTGGTCATATTTATCACCTCCTTCTCCACCTTCTCTATGTTTACCTGGAGTCCTATCATCGCTGGCAGCTTCCTCAAAGAGTTTGTTGGCTTTCGCCTGCCTGCCTTCGAGTTTGTGTGACACCAAACATAAATCATCCACATGCATGAAATCCAGATCTTCTAAAGTCTTATTATCAACCAATGCAACGCATTCCTGTCTTCTTTCTCCCAACGTACAGTATGGTGCATAATCCAATCCACCACAATTTGGAATATCATCTGTGGTGATAATAGGCAGTTAGCATTGTCTCGCTCCTGTATTCACTTTGAACGCCTCACTGTGTTTTCCATTATGGATTACCATGACACGTGGCGTTGTCATATAGCCAGCTGTTGAATGAGGGTGATAAAGATTTGGGCGCTGCACGCCGTAGTCTCGAAGCAGTTTTCAAATTACATCTTGGTAAACGCTGTCGAAGGCCTTTTCGAAGTCGATGAAGTTGAGGTGGAAGTTTGACTGCCATTATATGCTTTGTTCTGTGTTGATACATAGAGTAGCAATTTGATCAGCGTATGATTTGCTTTTTCTGAATCCAGCTTATTCATCCAGTGCATCTTTTATTCTCTCCAGGATGATGCGGCTTAGTATTTAACTTGGCGTGGACAAGAGTATTAATACACTTCAGTTATTGCAGAGGCATTATTCGCCCTTCTGTAGCAGCTTGACAAAGTAGCCAGCCTTTCTTCCAATCCGTAGACACATTTCCTTCCTTCGAAACCTTTTGCAATGATGACGTGAGCATATGTGCCGCAGTCTCTGGCTCCATTTCAGTGTTTCGGGGAATTCTGTCTCACACTGTCACCTCCCCAAACTTCAATGACATGATAACATTCAAGATTTCTGCTTTCGTTGGAGGGCTAATGTCCATTGACAGGGAGTTCTGTGCGTGTCGTTAGTGGTATTTCTGGGCGAGTTGCAGTCTATGGGCGTTTCAAGAGTCCTTTGAAGTGATCAACCCATTGTTTTATCTGTTTATCTCTTTCTTCATAGAGACCTGGTTAGTTGATATAATGTTCTGAGGTTTCTTTTACCTGCAGCCTGCCTACCTGTTCTGCTTCAGTTGCTAGTGAGTCGTAGAAATGTCTTTCCTGGCAATTTTGTTCACTTTATTCAGTGCAGTGTGCATTAAACTTAGCTCCTCCTGCTGTTGTTCATATTTGCATTGAGTCATCTTCTCTTTCAACATCCTCCTCCTCTGGATTAGCCTCCAGGTATCCATTGAGAGCCATTCCTTGTAGTGTCTCTTCTTTCGTCCTAGAACAGTTGTAAACTCCATATTAGTTTGCTTATTAGATGTATCACACAGTCAGTGAAACAGTATTATTTACTGGATGACGTTTCGAACTAAATTTATTGTTCATAATCATATCAATTGTGATCACACAACTTTGACACTTGAGTTTTATAGCTTTCTTTGTTTTCTCCTATTTGCAGGCAATCGATAGGAAGCCGTACCTGACCTATGTTTCGTGTCTGTTGGCAATGACTAGTCAGCAACGCGTTTCTGGATTGATGAAAAATTATGTATTCTAGTGAATTAGGCAAGTCACCAGGAGATACAAATTATCTAGCTGTCTTTGACCACAATGTTAACTGGTATAATATGGTCCTAAATAATGAGGTTATGCGTAGATTACTAGGTAAAGTGAGAAAGTGAATTGATGAGGTTACGAAACTACGCAGATTGAAATGACCAGAACATATGTTATGCATATCGAGCTATCGCCTTCCTTGACGAGTAACGTTAGCCGAAATTCCATTAGGCTGAGAAAGTGTTAGAAGTAGTCAGATTGTTACCTGGCATCAATCCATGGAGTTGTTGATGGTTAGTTTGATCCAGTCACATGAGCAGGTGTAGGCTACCTGCCTGCCTGCCTTGGGTCCTCGATGTTGCTTTAAACCCACCAGAATTCCAGACAGCTACTTAGGCGAGATGGTGTCAAGTAGACCACATACTGTGATGTGAACAGTTTCATTTTCTAATGGAAACACTGCAGCAAAACTTCACTTTGAACTGAGTAATATTCGAATGGAGAGTTTATTCTACGAGTGACTAATTCGATTCACAGAACGTATTTCATTTCTTCTAAATTACCATAAAATTAGATACTTTATGATGATACACTTTTTGTTTTCTATGGGCAGTTCGGATGCAAGAAAACCGACCTTTGTACCTGGAGCCTATTATACATCCTTCGATAACCGCATACTTATTAATGGCGCTCTTCTGAATCCACCATATTTTCATGATAATCAAAGTATTCCCGAAAGATATGGAGCATTGGGTTGGCTCATTGCTCATGAATTGTTGCATGCTATTGATATATCAGGTAATGAGACAACAGACTGAGTTTTCCAAGAATTTGTTCTACAGTTTTTATGTGCTGTTCCCCGAAACCCTATTTTCGTGGCTTGTTTCAGTAACATTGTAGTCATTGTTTTAAAATCTAATGTCACAGGGTATAGAGAGAGATTGATAACAGAAGTTTGTTTATCGAATCAACTGCAAATACATGTAATAGGAATGATTCATCACCTGTCCCAGATATCTGGAAAATTCTACTACCCCTACGACAAATAGGAGGAAACAAAGAAAGCTATAAAACTCAATTGTCAAAGTCGTGTGATTACAATTGATATGATTATGAAAAATAAATTTACGGACTTTACGGACTCCCGAAAGTACACAAGAAGGGTATCCCTCTTCGACCGATCCTCGACATGACCAATTCACCCTATCACCGCACAGCTCAATGGCTAGCAGATCTACTTGAACCAATCAGAAAACAAGTTTCCTGCCACACAGTTCGAGATTCATTCGACTTTATCGACTCAGTCGAAAATATCAACGTATCCAACAAGACAATGATTTCATTAGATGTCACATCACTATTCACAAACATTCCACTGACTGAAACGATATGCTACATATGCGAACTTATTCACTCAATGGGAATAAACATCGGTATACCCACCGAGCATCTTAAAGAACTCCTACTGAGGTGTACCCTGAATGTTCAATTCTCTTTCAACAACGAAATTTATCGCCAAAAGGATGGTATAGCTATGGGCTCACCACTAGGCCCTTTGCTTGCAGATTTCTTCATGGCAAAACTCGAAAATACATGCCTGAAGAAAATGATCAATACCCTCGAAATCTATTAAAGATACGTCGACGACACCTTCATTATCGTCAACAACGAAGAAAATCTAGACGACATCTTGAAGTCGTTTAACAACTGCCACCCTGCAATTCAGTTCACGATGGACAAAGAGTCCAGCTCCACAATATCTTTTCTTGACGTCCAACTAACAAGAAGAGAACAGGATGGAACACTGAAAAGATCTATCCACAGAAAATCGACGTGGAACGGACAGCTTACTAACTTTCACAGTTGGGTACCACTATACACCAAACGAAACCTGATCCGTTCACTCAGCTACAGAGTTCGCAGAATTTGCACCCCGGACACCATAGAAGATGAACTGGACAACCTCAAGAGAATCCTCGTCGAGAATTGCTATCCAGAAAGATTTATTGCAAAATCTATGAATCCTAAACCAGAAAAGCCGCCCATACTTAGCGTCAAGAAAAAACTACTCTACATGGACCTTCAATTCAATGGAGATCTATCTGTGGAAACACTAAAAAATCGACTGTCGCGCTCACTTAAGAAGACCTTCTTCGCAGCTGAACTACGACTAACCTTCTCCACAAAATCTATGATTCATCTGAACGTGAAGGATAAGCTACCGCTGCTGGCCTCATCAATGTGCATTTATCAATTCACCTGCTCGTGTGGAGCCAGGTATGTCGGCCGTACCCAGCGCTCGCTTTCCAAACGTATCACCGAGCACTTACCAACATGGTTTTACAAAGGAGAAAATCAATGCCCCCGCAGTTCCATCTTAGAACATCTGATAGAATCCGGACACCAAGCTACACCGCAAACAAACTCCAAAGTCGTCTACAGAGTAAGAAGTAGTCTCCCTAATGGTGTATGAATCAGACTTCTTCAAACTCCAGAAGCAATGGCGATTCACTTGCTAAGTCCTGAACTCTGCATACAGAAGAAGTTCGTTCAATCACTACACTTGCAATGGACGTAATCTATCTTATTAGCCGACATGTAAATTCTACCTAATCTTTTCTTCTGTCTCTTCATTAGTATTATTTTGTCTTCTCAATTGTAACATTTTACATTTTCAACTTTCTTGTTCTCTACCCCCACCCGATTAAATTTCTACACCTCACCACCACTGTTACTGACTTGAACAACGCTCAGTTTCTAGTCATTCATGTTACGTCATCCAACTTATTCACTCAATTTCACTTCTACTTAATCTCTACCTGTAATTACCTCTGTTGCTACCCTGACCTAAGTTGTAACATTTTAGCCAATTATATTACGTCATCTAACTTCTTAACTCAATCTTACTTTAGTTGCTGTCTGATTAACTTTGTCTCTATACTACATCATTCTTATATTAACTAATCAATTATCTAAACTTGACAAACCTCATGTACACACACACACAAATATTCATATATAAATGCGATTGTACAGCTATGTGAATGAATTCGCCGAAAAGAGTCTCTTCGCTGAATGTCTTCTCTTTTTCATATCTGATGTGTGTAAAGTGCAACTACTCACTTTAATCAGTCAGTAGTATATATTTTTATGCAAAAATATTCTCGATAACCATTTATAATTGTATAAAGCAGATCACATACTGTGATTTGAAAAATTTGGCTTTCCAAAAAAATTGTACTGAAAATGCCATCTCTGGAACTGTGTACATTGCAGATTATGAATTTGATCTGATGTATACATTAGCCAAATGGTCAACAAGCTTAGGCTTGTAATCGGGTTCCATTTCTGTTGGTGTGCGGATTGACGAGGAGTTCCAAACTACCAACGAACAAATCCATATGACACAATTGTTTTTTTTGCGAAATGTTCAGACGCCTACTCAACATGAGTTTACTTTTTTACTGTTGAATCGGAAAATCTGTGAGATTAAGAACACATTGGATAAATTCAATAAAGCACATCCTGCCATAAGCTTCACTCAAGATGAACAAGAATAAAATGACTCTATGTCCTTTTTGTGCGTCGGCGGCAAAGCGGTTAGGACGCTCGCCGACCATGCACATGGTCTGGGGTTCGATCGCCGGCCGACGCACTCCTTTACCTCGCTAAGCCAGAAATAATAATGCTGGTGAAGAGGAAAAGTTGGGCATGAGGCTAGCAACCCCATCCTGTAAAAATAAACACTGCTACAGAAACTTCATGCCACTAGCTTGAAGCCCTATGTTCCACTGGGGAACATGAAAGAAAAACATCTCCTTTTTGGATGTCCTAATGACTAAACAAACAAACGATGCAATATGTAGACGTTTGCAAGGAAAACATACTTTCACTGGACAATATACTCACTTACTGAGCTTCGTACCTTTACAATACCAATGTTATCTGGTTAGATGTCTGGTTCACCGGGCTAGAATCGACTGTTCAGATGAGACACTAAACGAGAGACTCGGTAATATTCTTGATCTACTAATTACAAATGGGCATCTGACTAAATTCGTGAACAAACACATGAACTCAGAAAGTAAAAAATCGAAATTTCCGACTGTCCCCAAAAAGTCAGTCTTCCTAAGATTAAAACTCACTGGTGATGCCAATAGTGAGATCTCATCACAACGTCTGAGAACAGCCTTGAAAAGGACTTTCAAAGCAGCTAAGCTATGCTGTTTATTCACTAGCCAACCAATACTCATTTCAAGAAATAAAGAAAGACTGCTGTGTGTCTCCTCTTTAATGTGTATTTAGCAGTTTAACTACCGATGCTGATTTGATTACATTGGGCGTACGATCACAGAAGTTCATCGTCGAATTTCTGAACACTTCCCATATTGGTATTGGCTTGGAAATGGTCCGAATAAAGCTATACGCAGCTCAATACTAGCTCATCTAATCGAAACTGGACATCAAGTCGACTATAATAAAGTTTTTAAAGTTAATTATCGTACTTCACCCAACCTCTCGCATGGTCTACGAGTACGACTTTTACACACAGCATAGGCAATTGGAATTCATCTGAACAAGCTAAATCTGTGTGTATGTGTTCAAAAGAAATTTGTACAGCCCCTTTCTTTACTATGGCCAACTACATAATATGTATTAAGTTTTTATGAACGATTTTTCCCCTCCCTTTGTAAATATCTTTTGACTTTGTTAATTTTTACAATTTTTACAGATGTGCCACTTTTCGCCTCGTGACACCTTTCAATTCGTCGACTATATACAAGATATCATTGAGTCGCGATTCACTAATTTTTCACTCACAGAAACTGTCTGTAACATTTGTCGATATATAGACGAAAACCAGCTGAACGTCGGATTACCGACGACCTGTTTAAAAGAACTACTACCGAGATGTACACTTAATGTACACTCCAGATTCAGTAATGTTATTTACAGACAACAATGTGAGATCACAATGGGATCTCCATTCGGCCCATGGCTAGCAGACTGCTTCATGGCAAGCGTCGAGAATGGCCCACTCAACTCAACTATTGACAATTTCCAACTGCATGTTAGATATGTGTACGACATCTTTATTACTTGTGATGACGGTCACGATCTTAATCAGTTGCTACAAATATTCCACAAATGCCATTCAGCTAGAAATTTCACTTTTGAAATTGAAAACGAATCTAAAATTCCTTTTCTTGATGTTGAACTTACAAGGAGAACAGATGGAAATTTAAGAAGGTTTATTCCATAGGAAACCCTCATGGAATGGCCAACTGACAAGCTTCTACAGCTAGGTACCAATCAGTCGAAAAAGAAACCTAATCAGATCTGTTGCTATTTGCGTCCAACACATGTGCAGTTCTGAAACCCTGGAAGAAGAACTACACTAATTGAAAGAAATCTTCATACAAAACGGTTTTCCACCAAGATTCATAGACGAAAACATCAAACAGAAAATCCAAAAGCAAGAGACAGCATCCGTGCCAAAAAAGATACTTAATATGAACCTCGACTTCAAATGTGACCTACTCAGTGATGTCCTTCGGAGGAGAATTTCCACTTCTTTCAGAAGAACTTTTTTTGCGGCTACATTGAGAGTAGTGTTCTCCAGCTGCCCACTGATCTGCAGAAGCCCAAAGGACAAGATCCCACATCTGACCACTTCTATGTTTATATCGGTTCACGTATTGCTGTGAAGCCAGGTACATCGGTCGTTCGACGCGCATCCTGTCAAAAAGGGTCAAAGAACACTATCCAGCGTGGCTGCAGAAAGGAAGTAGTGGCCG